AATGTATATAGAGGTGAGTAATGTATACTGTCACGACCTTAGACAAGATAAAAAAAAAAAAAAAAAAAAATTAGAAAAAAAACCATGTATGAAGAAGAAAGTTCCACAAAACAGCTTGATGCAAATGAAACGCTCGGGCGCCTTTTGCAACTCCGAGAGCGGCGATTAGAGGTGTAATGGAAAATAATATGCGGGTACCTATATACGCTTAGCTGCAAGAGATGCGAGGAACGGCAGCAACAGGATACTTGGTTGAAACTGAGCGCCAAAGAGGCAAGTATCTCAAAGCTGTGGAAGGGAATAGCGTCCCTACAACTCTCTCCGTTGTTGGTGCTCCGACTCAACTGATGTAAGAACGTCATCGGGTATACTAGATGGGACGCACTTGCCCGTGTGGTCGTGTTGTACTTATACATATATCCATTGTATGGTTGTGGTGAGTATACGATATAAATATGGGGCGGAAAGAAAACTATACAGAATTTTAGGGTGGGGACTGGGTGGTGAGAGCTAAGGAGCAGTTAATGTGTATACCTACAGGTACCACTGCAGTTTCCTTGGATGGTCGTTAATCATTTATGTACCAGGTGATGCTCGGGACAAAGAGAGAACATCGCCGGTTGGGCTTGCCGTACTTTTTATCGTAGGAAAAACAGCTGCCGCCGGAGAATTAAGAAAACGAGGAGTGCCCGGTGAATGCACTCTGTTTGGCTGAATTTTTTTTTTTTTTTTAATTTTATTTATTGATTTTTTTTTTCTTCGTAGCAATGCGGACCATTGTTTATTTCGGCCAAACTGACGCGTGATTTCCGCGACCCCGTATTTTTTTAAACATTCGCAGAATTTTAAAATGTTTACTTTGATTTTAATAATTATTAAAGTAATTGATCGTATTTAACATTTTTTATTTCAGTTTAATATTGAATCAATTTTTTTTTTTTTTTCTACCACGACTAGTGTTGTAAAAAGCAAAAGATCATAAAATATGAAATTCGTGGAGCCATGCGTGTTAAATATTTTTTTAAACAAAAGTTTATTTTTGTGTCAACCACATGCCAGTGTTGATAAAGCGCGGGTCTACGTACAAAATAAAACATGTACTCATTTATAATTAGGTTTTCAAAGACAAAAAAAAAAAAGAAGTAAAATAAGTACGTGCTTTAACTTTGAAAGATTTAAATTTTTTACTTTAACGATGACTTGATGAAGCACTGTCGTGCCTTGTTTCACTGAATATTATATGTACACGATTGTTTGCCGATCTAATGAAAAACGCAATAGTTTATTTAGATGATTTTTTTGAAAATCACTACATTACCCATGGAATTTCCATTAAAATGCTGTAAAAAACGTAAAAACATTTTCCAATTTTTCTTTCAACTCAAAGAAATGAAATTAAAACCTACAGATAACGATTTATATTTCAAGCTGCGCAGAGTTGGGCTATAACTGATAACGAACGCTTGACTAATTCTAACCCACGAAAACAAACAAATACAACTTAGGTTGAGGCATGATAATCATCTACGTGTGCTAACGTTATTAGATGATACTTTGATAAAGTTCATTTATTTTATTTTTAGATGATTTCAATAAACGGAAAAAAAAATTCGACAATAATGCGGCTGAAGTGTTGAAAAAATTTCCTAATTAATTTTCTCGGAAGGAGCCTAATCTTATTGTTAAGCAATAGGTCGGTATTTTTTTTTTCCTGAACGATGCGCGTCGACTTTGATAACAATTTTTTCGGCTAACATGCGATACAAATCTGGATTTTTGTACACCTCAACCTAAGCGTTAGGCTGAGATAAGGCTATCATATCACATCACTGTGGCTTAACGCAATCTCGGCTCTATCACGTTTTATCGTTAACGGCTAATGCACACTCCAAAGTTTACACCTTCTTTTTACAAAAAAAGACGACTGTACATGAAAATTTAACGATTTACACCACCGGTATTATATGGTCAACAGTGAGGACTTTTGTATAAAAATTATCAATTTCCGTTAATCAACAAAGTCAATGTATACGTATGCTATTTTTTGACATTGCAGTGGAACTAATACAGTATCGCGTTAACAAATTGTTTATTGATATGGTTTATTTTTGCTTCAAGGGGATAAGCCAGGCTGATTTCTCCAAAAACCCGAGACGTCAAAGACGTGCGAGCATTGATCAGAAAAAACATTTACCGTCGGGTCTTATTATTTTCTACGAATACCTAAGAAACGTCTGTTTGGACACTTTAACGGATACTGATCTCTCTACATCAACTTGAATAAGCACACTTCGATACATTTTGCATCGGATTTATTCAGACTCAACTTCACTCGTCACAGATAACGATAATCTTTCTTTTCTTTGTTTTGTTTTTCCATGACTCTAAGCAAATGACAGTTTTTGAATTTAATTAGTTAACACAGCAACAACAAGCTCAGGAAAACAAACGAGTAATCAAAGGCAATAAGGCGCTTGTTGGGGAAAAAAAAAAGAAAAACTTTTTGAAGGATTACCACATTCAGCTGTGAATCCCAGACTATTACACACTCTTGCGCGCACCTCGCGTTTTCCTTGTGTACAATATATTTTCGAACTACAAGTACTCGAGTGTCCGATGATAATATCAAGGCTCCACGTGTGCCTTCTCTGCGTCAATTTGTATTTCCCTGTGCGGAAGTGAGGTGAATACCCAAACAATTTTTGTATGAAAGACTTATTATCTTTATGAGATGCTTGCATAGGTGAGTTGCCATTAAATGCGCTAGTTGTATCAAAGATCCAAGTGATAAAAAATTATTGTAAATCAGATTACTTGTCATAAGCGCATCACCTAATTGTCAGTTTTCTTTGTATTTTATTTGTGAATCACGTACTTAGTGGACGATCGACATCAGTGGTCGTAAGTTTTTTCACCTTACAGGAAACACATTTTTACGATTATTACCAAATATTTTTTACTTTTCTACTACAGTCGAGTAATAATTAAATATTAACAAAAAAGCAATTAAATATAAAAAACCAGGGTTGACGAAAAAAATCGATGTAAATTGACAATTCGTTTTTGCGAAATGTTCATTACAATCAAATTCAGGGATCTCTTCGATAACTCGAGAGCAAAAAATAAAATAAGCGATAAAGTAATACACACACACATTATACTCTGTTTATTGCACCAGGCAATTGGATGAAATGTATACTGCAATTGGATTTTTCGACGAAATTTATGAATGTCAAGTGGAGAATCAAATCGACCTGAAATCGAAACGAGGACGAATGAAATTTCAGGTACACGAGACGATTGAGCACCGATACCCCAAAGAACAACTAGCATTTGCAGCAGACTCTTGACAGAAACAGGAGTTCCAACGAGCGTGCAAGTGAAGTTCTTGGAGATGAGCATTCAATCGATTTCGGGGGGGTATTACTCAAACTTCTCTGCCACAGTCAAGGTCTTACTAATGGCACAAGGAGGGAGGGGGATGGGGGGGGGTGGTATCTAATGTTGCGCCGCTGGCAGTCAATTTCAGATTATTCGTGCCGAGTAGCAATGATATGTATACATGTAAATATGTAGGCGTATTAATTTATATACCACCGATTTGAGGATATACTGCACTGTGATTGTGCAAGAAATTGATCGAGTGCCGTATTGGCCAATCGATTTGTAATGACGAAAATCTATGTTGATTGTGATAATTGAGTTTTCGATAATCGCGTTTAGTTTGATCGCCGAACGGAACTTTTTAACGTCGCTGTTAAACACCTGCAGGCAATACTTATTTTGAAGCTTAATTATGTCGAAGGTTTATCTAGACAATTGCTGGATAGCCTAATTTTTTTTTTTTTTTTCACATTATCTAACTAACACCTCATACGTATAATATGTCCATTAAGGAATGACCTATTAAAAAAAGCTTCCAAATTGACGATTTTGAATGAGGTGAATTTTCAAATAATAGACTGCGAAATACAAAGTCTCTGCGCTGAAATGTATTGACGCGTTGCGGCAATCTTCCGTATGATCCTACATACGTAACATTACGTGTCTTGTATATACGAATGCGCTCTCGATAGATATGAGTCAGTCGGTCCGCATATGTACACCCACTTCTTGAGATGCTGGAATGTCTGCACTGCATATATATGTATATACCTACAGAAACAGCTTAAACCTACAACGAGAGAGATACATTTCTTGAGCTCATAGTGTGAGACATCCAAGTGATCGAGGTACCCAATCGTGTGACATTCCGAGTGATTAGACAAACTTGCTCATATTTTTCTTTTTCAAAAGCTCTTTTTCCAAACAGTTTGGTTGCTAATTTCGATTGTGCGTACAACTTACGTTATTTTCTTACACTACAAACAGCCAAACTGTGGACGCATGATTTTATTTATGTCTCTCTTCCAGTGAATCCATACGATACGGGTGAAATAAACATTGATCAACAAAAAAAAAAAAAAAAACAAAAAACAGGAAGTTGTGTGCATCGCATTTAATAATAACAATTGTTTCGCTCGTGTTAAGCAGTGACTTTTTTTTATGTATAACTTAACACAAGCTTGCCAGTGCTAATTTTTGCCACCACCTCGCATCTAATTAGTACTACTACTGTTTGCAACGTAATTGGAGCACTTGGGTGTTAAATAATAACATTACCGGTATGATGTAAATATACTTGCACTTGCTCCGATTCGAGAAAAAAAAAAAAAAAAAAAAAAAAAAAACAATTAACAACTGCGGAGAATAATGTAGTTTTCCTCGTGAGCGTCGACGAGTAAGTACATAAATGCGCGTACCGACCGACAGTACGAGTTTTCGTCGAGTTTGTGCTGACATCTCCCGCGCGTCGGCCGCGAGTGAAATAAACAAAAAAAGCTCAAGCTCGACTCCCAAGATAATCCTTCCAAGGCATTGTCAACGTTCTCTCCCACCTGTCAGCTCCAACTGGAGTAACGTTTTATAGTATACAACATACACTACTTTTAGCCATGAAATCACCGCCCTGGTAAGAGTATCCTACTTATACCGTTGCCTTTCGAAATCATACATAGTCGTCGTCGGCTCGATCGCCGTTACGCCGCGTCTCCTCTCTGTTTTCCATCGGACAGCAGTAGTTTGTACTTACATTTGACAAACGGATATGATTACTTATTAAGTAATCAAGCAAACACGTGATTGGGACTCTTGGGTCGGTGACTCCTCGGGTCACGGTGGGGTAGATGTAATATGACCGGTGACTATTGCCGATACTCGTGCACGTGTGGGTGTGTACTTGTGTGCCGTTGGTGTACTCGGTAGCCGATCGCAACCGGCCCGAGTTGATGAGCATTCTCGGACGTGCGCGACACAAAAAGGTGCCCCCGGAGCTTGGGAGTTGGTCGGCGCGCAGTGTTATTGTGAAAGTGCGCTTTGCGTATTTTTAGATCCCAGTTCCAGTTGGTGCTTGGATTCATTTGGGATTTTACCGATTGACCTTTCTTTTTTTCATTTCCAACGATCGCAAGTACAAACTCGTAGGGAAAATGACCGGGGAGGACGAGATGTGGGAGAACTTTTATCACAAGTTCGTTGCCGATCAGGAGAAGAAAATGAAGGAGCCGCAAGAGCGGAGTAGCCATGAGGCCAGGTAATACTCTCATTTCGTTGTTGTTTCAACGCTTACGTATAGCTCACCTATATCAAGTACTTTCATATTTTTACGTTAAATTAACGATCCTTCCCTCGCTCTACGGAGCTCCTGTACACCTGTACATTGTAGCCCATAATATTGTGTTAATAAAAACAAATAGCCACACTTTGTACATAAAAATGCACCCTTTCACTAATGGTTATTATTATTTTACAGTACTGACGGTATCTCTCCTAACATGATTGAAATATCCGATAATTTTTGGTAACTATATTATTATGTGTGTGGATACCATACGAATGTTTGTCTTGTCCCTGTGATGTTTTTTTATTTTATTTGCTATACGTTTTTCGCCGATCTACGTATATTTATATTTACATCACCTCGTCATACACCTGATGCCTATTTATAGCGATTGTACTAACGTGTACGCGTCTATAGATAGAGTTCAGATCGCGGTTTGCATGTACCTGGATTCTCAGGTGTACCTACTTATTTGTTGCAATGAAAGTAAATATTGTTCAAAGCAACGCGATAAAACATGATATAAAGTAGGTATAGCGATTTGTAAAGATCTTCTTGGCGAGTTATTTCGGTGTTTCGAGTCATCCGTGAATAGCGATATGCCGGTGAAAGGTCTTCTGCCGTGTATGTATATGCCTATACAAACGCGTTCTCCTGATGTACGTATACATGTGTGTACCTATATATACATATTTATGTGGGTATAGGCATGAGAAACGTCATCGTCGGGTTAACGAGAGGCTGCGAGAGTGCCGGCTGATGTAGCTGCTGGGCATCATCGTGACATGTGTATATAAATTCATACTATAATGTACACACGGAGGCTTAAAAAACGCACGATGGTAATGAATTTACTGTGCGATATCGTTATGACAGTATCAAGGATTCGCACGTGCGCTCGTTAGGTGATCTATTACGCGCGCACTGTACGGGTATAGAGTTAGTAACACGTTGAGATACACACGCCGTTATACAAAAGAATGACCTTCGGGCCTTTGCATCGCAATCTGTTTCTCATAAAGTATCGGGCGTGCGTTCTCACACTTGTACTTTTTCAATCCACACGCGTGCACTTGCTCGATAGTTTTAATCTGTAATGAATTTCTTGGCCTGTCTTTTGCAATGTCCGATTATTCGTTTCGTGATGCTCGGCAACAGTAAATAAGTACATTGTGATTAATTATGATGAATAATTATTACTATCATCGGCTGCGATGTTCACGTGAAACGATGTCTCGACTCAGCCAAAGTACATATTTACACGATGCACAAACAGAAACTTTATGATGGAGCAAGCGTTTTTTTAAGGAATCGTTAAACATTCTTACCGAGTGCAAAATCTTACACGACGAGCGTACTTCATTTTTTCTGCTTTGTTAAAACCAATAATATCGGACGATGTTGACGGTTAATTTTTTATCTTTGGTATTGTTTTTGAACAATTTTTCAAAACATTTGTCATTTAAATTATTATGGTTTATAAAAATTGTTTAGTAATTTTTTTCTTTCATTCATTTGCTATTGTAACTAAAAAAGTAATAAAATATTCATTTACTGTTCAATATCAATATACCATCGTCTGTATTATGTATATGCTTATGTAAAATGTGTTATAATGTTTTAATCAGTTCCAATTTATTTCATAAAAATTGTTGAGGAGTTGAAGACGAGTGGTACACTTTAATTACAGTAGTAAAGCAATGAAAAAAATTTATTACTTAAAAAAACACGCAATACAGCTACCTTAAACGCTTCAGACACAACGGAATCAACGTAATGTAAACTATTTTACCCAAATTTATCTAGTCATAAAAATAAGTGTAGAAAGACGTGAGATATTCTATCGCAGGTTTAATTTGCTTGTAAGGAAACAAATTTGGTTGTTTCTTAAACGATTTTTAATGCTAGAAATTTTAACTGCACGCGTTAAACGCCTTATATCAACATACTTTATGTATTATTTTGTAGATACCGAATTGTCCTTTCAAAAGATTTTTTTAGTTACGTACAGGTATATAATCACAGGCGAAAAGGACGGTAGATAAGAATAACGAAGTAAACATCTCATCCGAATACTGTAATACCCACATGAAAATGCCATCCACCGAGATTTACGCGTTGTGAAACCTTCTTTAATCTCACGTATTTTCATATGAATCGGTAACGACTTGTATTAAGTGGATCATATCATCGACACATCATCATACTGTTATTATTTTAGTAGATGAAGAATTCTCAACTTTTTGTTCCTAAATGATGCTCGCAACGTTATAAAAAAAATGTATTTTTATTTATTTGAACCATTACTTCAAATCTATAATAAAAACTTTTGATATTTACCGATACTACTGTAGTAGATCACCCAAACGGGCACACAGCATATTTATCTTGGAGCCATGTTTCAGTCCTCCATGGAATAAAATTCATTAAAGTATTCGATGAAAAAAAAAAATTGAGGGAATTACTCGATTTGTATCAATATTTTCTTCAAGTATTAAAAATTAATTGATCGGCTGCAACAGAATGAAGATATTTTTAAGAGTAGAGTAAGAAAATTACAATTAATGAAACTGTGCACGATTCATTTTTATCACATTATTAAAAAACATAGCTTGAATGAAATGTTCTTATAAACCAACTCATGTACATATAAATTTTATACTTAATAATTTCGAAGAAAAAAATCTCGTGTGCTTAAAACGCACGGTATAAAATAAAAAAAAATACGTTTGTCAGTTTCTCACGAATTTTTTACACATATTTTAGTGATGGTCTAATTAACGGCTCGAGTATTTGTAAAATTAATGAGCACGAAATAATTAATCTAAATTTAAAAAAAAAGAAAAAAAAATCAGTTCAACATTTGGGATGTTAATTAAAAAATATTTATATATCGTTAATCCTAATCAAGAGTATTAGGCGTAGGAGGAAAAAATCTTTGTTTTCATAAATGGTTCGTTTTTTTTCCGCTAATCAGTGCACCAATGCTCCATCGCAAGACGATAATGCTCGGGTGTTTGAAGAGAAAACGAATCACGTTATAACGAGGCAGTGGAGGAAAAAAAAAAAGCCGGCGCGTAGAGCTTTGGGATGTAGAAGTGCGAATAATACCGGAGCGAGATTTTAGTCGCACGTATGACCGAGGAGCGACGCGTCGAGTACTCCACCTGCGCATTTTCGAGCGAGGCGCATATCGTTTTTTTTCGCTTTTTTTGAGATCAAACGCTTTTTGTACCGTTGCATTGTTCCGTCAGTGGTTTTTTGTGCATGGGATCGAAATGCCAGTGAAAAAGCTTGTCTACTGCTTGACTAGTACGCTTGTAACAACACTACGCACGTAATTCTCATTTTATTGTTATTCATTTACTTGGTGTTCTGCGGTTCGAGTACTTTTGACAGTTTTCACATTGAATTTGCTAATTAAACGTTTTATCTTGTTTTTCCAGTGCATGGGATTACACGTTGATTTATGTGGTGAATTTTAGTTTTCAAATATCGAGTAACTATTTATCATTTTGAAGTATTATGAAGTGCAAAAGTATTAAATTTGTGCTTTTCAAAGATAGTATCAAATCAACTATCTATGAAAAATATTTTTTAATAAACTAATGACATTCGTATAGTAAAAAATAATACTCCTACAAAAGAGCTGTATACGATGATGATAGAAAAAAAAAAAAAAAAAAAGAAAAAATAACAGTAATCACAGGCAAATTATGAATTACCTTGTGCTTGAATTATTCAACGCCGTACAAAATTATTATCTTGGCTAACGATCGGCCAATCATATTTTTTCAAATTGCCCGTGATCTTCGCGGGAAATATCCTTCACCTCGCGCGGGTTTATCCATTCTCGCGGGATCTAGAGTTTCGCACGATTTTTATTGGAAGCCCCCCCCCCCCCGTAAAATCAGTCCTAGATCTGCGTATTGAATCGTATGGCCAAGTAGGATTTTTATTTTTTGTTTTTCAAAAAATTGTTTCCCATCGTCATTATCAGGCACAAATCAACGTGCAATCGGTCAATGTTTACGGCCGCAATTTGCACAATTAACGCCCATCAAAGACTCGCGAATCAACGGGAGAATGCCTCTCAAGATCTTGTTTGGAAAAAAAAAAAAGGAAAAAAATACTCGAACCGCATCTCGAGAGGGAGAGAGGACGGTCCTCGCGGTGACAATTTTGACCATTGTTTTTCTTCTCCCTTCCGCAACGAAAGGATCCAGGAGGAGGACAACAGTTTTTTCGAGAAGCTCGGGACTAGTCTTGCCGACAAGGCCAAGGCGCAGCGGCTCGAGGAAAGTTTGCCCGAGGCGACACCCCCGTGTGACTTTGAGGCCAACGAGGAGGCCGTCGGTACATGTAACACCGGCCAAGAGGGGAAGGAGGAGGTGGAGGACATCGAGGCGCATTTCTGCGTGGCCAAGCAGAGGGAGGCCCTCTACGCCGAGAAGGAGATCGCCCTCAAGGGGGAGCAGGTTGCCGACTCCACCGAGTCCGAAAGCGAGAATGGAGAGACCACGTACAACGTCGTCGCAAAGTCCGTTGGATTGAACGTGAGTCGAAAACATTGATACATGTACTTTTGTACAATTGTAGCACCTGCATATCAGTTATCCAATGCATCAGGAAATTTTAGGTTTGCAAGCTCTCGTTGGTTCTACACTCGGTGTTAACTGTATTCAATCTACATTGACCCAATGTAACAGCTTGGCGTGGCCACGATTGGGCCGTTTCGCTTTGCATGGAGATCGTCCTCTACTATGCAGTGAAATATCGGTATCGTTTTTATCGGTTGTAGTGGTACCAAAGTCCAAAAAAACTAACGAGTTTGCAAATTTGCTTCACGATACGGGAGAGTGTGCGCGTAAACGGTCAAAGGATCCGAGTTTCTCGATGAGTTGCGAAGCGGGGGAGGGCTCGCAATAACCGGCAGTCCACGCCGGGACGACGGCCACTCAAGATTTTAGCCCCGAAACTATCTGACGTGAGACACTGTATATAATATATTGTGCAGTATATAGACTACGGCTGGTTATACCGAGTCTATACTACTTTGATGGAAGTTGGAGTAGCTGGGGTATTGGATGGAAAACGGGAAATCGATTTATCGGTCTCAGAACGCGCGATACGTTTCATTCGATTATACGTCGGAGATTTTTTAACAAATTAATTGGTCTTTTTTTTTTTTTTTTTTTTTTTTTTGTAGTTTCAAATGGTTTCCTCGGTGTTTACTAAAACATGATTCGCTATACGTAGCAAGGCATGCACTTTTTGCACGCGGTACACGTAAATAGATAATAACATGCAATCGACGATAAAACTTCCTTAATAGAGATTCATATATCTTCGGATCTTTGCGAAACATTCAATCACGTCTTTAATAATTAAATGAAAAAAAAACCCATTCGAAATGTTTTAAAACAATGCTGTATGTGTTTTCATCTTATTCTTTAAATTATAATTGTACACGTATATGTACAATATATTGAACGATTTTCTTAAAGCGATGTAGTACAGTAAAAGCTTTTCTTCATCGCAACAATCTGTATTAAAATTTTCAAAATAATTAGAATTTACATCATCCAACACTGTCGTACTTTTTTCAATTTTTAATAAAAAATACATGCTATTTATTACGATTTCAAATTAAATACTCATTAGGTGTACGAGGATATCGAACTACAGCCATTATTCACTAAAATATCTCTATGGTTCATTTACCAAGATGGTAAGGGGCGATATGTACAGTGGGGGCTCAAAGCTGATGGGGAAAAAAAAAAAAAAAAAAAAAAAAAAGAAAGAAGAAAGAAGAAAGAAAGAAAGAAAATGCAGAGTAACGAAAATTAAATTATGTTTCATAGCCTAGTTCTTTTCAATACTTCCATTTGTATTAATGAACGCAGGATCCATAAAAAGTACGAGCATTGCACGAACACAGCCCCCGCTCGTGTAAGTCGTTGCCCGCACTGTGTTCCCTTTTATGTATATACGTATACGTGTATACAAGCAACAACGTCTGCATAATATACACGTTGAAATCTCCGAAAAAATCACGAGACGGTGAACATTGACGTGACTATACTTTGCATCTTCTGGACAGCCATTATCATCCTTTCTCGTAACCCACCCTCACCCTGGAAAAAGCACAGCAAAAAGAGCGGATGCGTTATTATCCTCTAGGGATATAAACGAAAGCAAATTGAAGCCCTGGTAGGGCCAAATTATACATTTATTGGATCAAAAATTACGGCCGAACTAGTTTCAAACAAGTTTGTAAGTAGGGAAATCAATGTTACTCGATGATGGTTAATAAAATCGTGGCGTTTATCACCAAAGTTTAAACAGCCCGTAACTATCGACCGAAAGGGAAATATTCCACTGTAGGTACCAGGAGGTCAAAATTGAAAGCTCTTCACGTCGCCACGTACTTTCGATATAAACCATCTCGCGAACTTGACCCTTTAATTTTCGAAGACTCCGACGTATACCAATCGTCCGGTATTGATCACAGGACGTGGCTGCCGCGTGTGCATTAATACACATGAAACGAGGGTTGGTTGGTTGTTAAAACGGCGCCTCGAATGTGGGCAATGCCGCTTACACGCGAGCAGGGCCTCCAAGGTACCAAAGTAAAAGGTTCAGTCGGCCCGGTGCACTCGGGCTCGCGGTAGAAAAAAAAAAAAAAAAAAAAAAGAAAGAAAAAAAACAACGAAAGGCCATGCCAGCGTTGCCGGTGATAATACCGGTGCGAGGCTCAAAGTCGATTCGGGGACTGGTTGTCGAGCGCAAACGACCGAGACGATCCTACGCGCATGGCCGAATACAGCCCATCGTCATACAAGTGAGGAGTAAAAAAAAGACGGTGAGTCGTGTTTTGCGTACATTACTACACATCATGTCGGCGTGGAGAATCACCGTACTCTAGTCTTGTTGCCGAATACGGAAAGAATCGGCGACCGATTGGGGCTGCAAACGTTGGGAATCTTTTTGGACTTTGCGATAGCCCGGGCGATTTCGTTTCGGAGACCGGCCACTTGAAAAAAAAAAAAGTGTATAGCAAAGGAGGAAACCCACTCTGTAGTCATCAGGTGTGCGACCTCAACCCTCGCGCCGTCGTTTATTTACCGTCGTGCCAACACCCCCACGCCCCATAATCGTACACGGATTATGTACCCCCCCTCTCTCTCTCGTGCAAGCTCTCGCAAGCTCTACTACCACCCACAGCTTCTCCTCCACCTTCCATCAGCAGACGCCCGTGCGGTGTATATTACGGAACGGATTACGTTCGCTACTCGATCGAGCTTTCAACGTATTCGTGTGTCTATATACGTACAGCCGGTTAGGAGGAGCACGTTTAAACCACGTCATCGCTCCAACAACTCATGTTTAACCTTTGCGCAGTTTTACTTTTCGTTTGTACAATATTGTCACGGGACTACGGGATCGAGGGAAAAAAAAGTCACGTAGCGCGGGATTTATTCACTCGCGAGTGCCGCACATATAGCGACTCGGTAGGGGTGTGTGTATATTGTAATAGGGTGAGCGCGCTCGCGATGATGCATTGGGACAGACTGGGTGCGGTTTGCTAACGCGTTAAAATGAGCTCTGGGAATCAGAAATACCGCTGAATAATGGCTCGAGCATGTGTATATTGTATGTACGGAGCCGTGTCGCATACGCATCGAAAGCTTCTTTGGAACCGATTTTCTCGACCCAAGGGGAAATTTTACGCGCTCGTATAGGCGGGTGGGCTTGCAATTTCGTTCCTCTCGGGGAATTTCCGATCGAGCGATTTCCATCGACAAAGTGCACGGGGAGCTTGCAGTCGGCGTTAGTCGCTCGCGCGTAGGAGCACAGAAAAGTCGACGCGTGCATTTTTCGCGCGCCACCCGTGTCTACACGTATCTCGGTATCGTCTTGATATAGATAGAAAAGTAGAAGTAGAAGAAGAAGAAGAAGTTGTGTAGTAGTAGAAACAGCAACGGTCCGGCGTGGCTATTCCTGGGGTCCCCCTCGCAGTGCGGACTCGGATTTCGCCGAAGCACAGCTATCGGCCTGCCTTGTTGTACCACATACAGCAACGGGCGCGTGTGAACTTGAAATCGTAAAAAGGACCCGAGAACCCAGTGAAAGGGCGGGTCGGTGCACGGATTCACCTTCTCGTTTTTTTTCTTTTTCGTCAACCCGTCGCTATAACGTACACATGATTTTTACGACGGTGACAGTGGGCGATGAGTTTCCGTAGCCGAAAGCTACATGGATGTGCGCTGCCGTAAAAGTGTACCGGAGTTTCGTAACGCACCGGGCCGCGATGCCTCTGGTGTTTTCAGGCCGAGTTGCCTCGATTTTTCTAGCTTCGCTCGACTGCACGAGAGGAGAATCAACATTTCCAACAGAATAATACTCCCACGGAACACCCGACCGATCGAGCTTGATTCGTTCGAAGAAGAAAATCACCCGTGGCGGACAACGCGATCGATTGTTTGCGATTTTCTTCTCCCGACCTTGCGTGAGACTCCTCTCGACTGCGAAGGGGAAGACGAGAGAGGAAAAAAATAGGAGAAGAAAATCAGCCGCTGCTCGACAAAAAATCCATTGATCGAGCAAACTCGCGCATGGTGTACATATATTAAGAGAGAGAGAGAGAGAACTATTGCACTGTACCGATCAGATCTGGAGAAATCGGCGCACACTTGCATCGCCGTTCCACGACGACGGTGTCGAGCTGTAGTCGGAGGTAGAAATGGTCCAGCGAGCCGTGTGACGGACCCGGGGGTTGGTCCCAGTGGCGTAGCGCCCACCACCCTGCCGATGGCTCCGCACAGCCGAATCGCCGGCCCACCGGCTTGGCGTGGGAAATACTTCGAGGCAAGTGCAGTACACCCCCACCCCCCCACTTTACTCCGATGCGTGTATGTATTTTAACGAGTACCGGCTCTTGCTTTGATCGATCGAGCGTGTAATTACACAGCGGTAAAACGACACCCATTAACTACCGGCTACGTCCGCGCAACTTAATTGATCTTGAATTGCCACTCTGTGCTTCTATTTTCGATGCGCGCACATGCCCCCCCGACGTGTAAGTATACACGTATATGTTATACGCGACGCAAAGTGTTCGAGCTCGCGTGCGCGGGTGGTGCATCCTCTGTCTTGCAACGGTTTTGCCCGACCAGAAAATTGACCTTGGAACATTTGGGATGAGGATGCACGAGGCGATGAGTTTTATTGCCCTCTATTCTCATGTATATATATATATACATATAAAGCACACATACAAAGGGGGTATACAGTAAACACACGTGTGTTTAGAAAACACCAGAAGGAATTTCCTTTTGGTTGACGAGTCTTGGCGTTATCGTGTGACGTCGCGTTTGCTTTGAAAGATAAATCTCTCTCTGGTGGCGGATGGGTTGTATAAATATATCGTATACGAGTGTTTCGTGATGTTTACTTTGCCGAAACGAAGGAAAAAGAGGAAAAAAGAAAAAACCGAGCCAGAAACTCGGTGATAATGGTCGGGGGGAGCGAGCAAATGAGAGATTTAAATACCGATTTCTCGGCTAAAATTAACCCAAGGCCCATTCACGTTTCGAAGATGTTGCGTTTGCGTAAATTTAGTTTCGTAGAAACGTGTTTCATTAACCTACTTGAGTACGACTTTGTGTTTTTAAAGGGCAAGGGGAGGGGGAGGGGGGGGGGATTTGGAGCATTGGAGACATCAGAAAAGAAAAAAAAACACCCGATAAATCTCTGCTTTCAGGTGGAGGAGCTGTACACAGCCCTGCTGTACATGATCCAGCACCAGATTGGCTTCGACGTGGTGGACGAAGTTGCGCAGGATGACGTCGTCGATTACCTGCAAAAAGCGTTCAACATCGACGACGAGACGCACCAGAGGGTCATGGAGGAAACGCGACAGATGGAGGTACACATTCATCATCCTATTATAGTTTGGCGATGACGAAGAAAAAAAAAAAAAAAAAAAAAAAAAAGAAAGAAAAAAAACAACGAAAGGCCATGCCAGCGTTGCCGGTGATAATAGTATACGATGATGATAGAAAAAAAAAAAAAAAAAGAAAAAATAACAGTAATCACAGGCAAATTATGAATTACCTTGTGCTTGAATTATTCAACGCCGTACAAAATTATTATCTTGGCTAACGATCGGCCAATCATATTTTTTCAAATTGCCCNAAAAAAGAAGAAAAAAAAAAAAAAAAAAAGAAAATAAATGTATTGTCCGTGGTACTTCAGGCACCCAAGATGCACTTGAACGTTGAAGTGATGGAGGCCAAGGAGCTAAACCCACTGGATTCTAACGGGAAGAGCGACCCATTTTGCGTTCTATATCTGGAATCGGCGCCGACCCACAGATTCAACACGGCCGTCAAGCCCGAGACCTTGGAACCCGTTTGGCACGAGCACTTTGAAATGTGCGTAACTCGCTTGAGAAGATAATGAACTCTCTCTCTCTCTCTCTCTGTTTCCCCCTTAACAAATAAACGTCACGCACACGCCCCGGCGACAGACCACTTTTTACCCATGCTACTCTTTATACAGTGCCGGGAGAAAAGGCGCAGGTGCATGTATACATATATTTTATTGATAAACGACGCGTTGTTGCACAGGCCGCTCGACAACCCGGAAAACGATGTGCTGCACCTGGAGGTGTGGGACTTTGACGCGGCGGAGTCGGTGCCCGAGAAAATGAGCAAAGTGAAAAGCGTTAAGGGGATGCGGGGCCTCGTGAAACTGGCCAAGGAGATCGCGATAACGGCGACGAGCGGCAACCACGACAACGAGTTCATCGGGGGGGCTCGTGTACCCCTGCAGGCGATCCCCGTGACGGGCCACGTCATGTGGTACGCCCTCGAGAAAAACAACAAGCCGAAGCGCCGGGGCCTGGTGAAGCTCCGATTAGCTTTTAGCACCGAGCACAACGCCCGGGTGGCCTACCAGGAGCACCGCAGCTTGTTGCGCATCCTCTTGCTCCACGAGCTCGAGAGCCACCCTACCGAGAGGTATAGTTGGCAGGGCGGCTGGTCCGGGCCCGCCGAGGTCGTCGTCCTCCAGCACGCGGTCCAGCGCGGCCTCTGCCCCAAATTCGTCAACCTGGCCCGGTGGATCGAGTTCGCGGCCGCCCACCAGGAGCACCAGCTCAGCTTCGCCGTTTTCCTCAAACTGGCCGAGGAGCTCGTTGCTCCCGTGGCAAGTGGGAGCCTCTCCGACCAGGAGACCCTGCAGTTCTGGGACGCGTGCAAGAAGATACTCTACTCGGGCCTCAACGCCCTCAGGAAGATACGCAGGCTGCAGGTCGACAAGGAGCACATGATGAAGCAACTAGTCGCTATTCTTAGGTAAGCGATGCTTTTTTTTTTTTTTTTTTTCCCTCACTACGTAAGTAGAGAGAGAGAGCGATGCCGAGTATTGGGTCGACGACCGGTGCCCTATGCGTGCCTTTTTTTTCTTCCCCTCTGAAATTCCGAGCTCCGCGTTACGCAACCCGTGCGCCAAAAAACTTGTTGCCCACGTCCAAATTACCATTTTCGGAAATCAATACATTATATATGTATGTATATATGCTGTACACGCGCCAAAGGAGGAAAGCAAAGAGAAAAAACAAACCATATTTATCCTGTCCGTAGAATGATTTCGTTGCTATCGTCGTCGCTCGAGGTGCCCCAGACCGTCAACCTGTTCCCCCTGGAAATGTACTCGTGGCTGCCCCCGGAAATTCTAGACGGCGACCGTATCAGCATACCCGAAGCCTTGGAATTCGCGGTGATTCGAGGTGGCGCCGAGCGGTGAGTATTATTAACGCTTTGCTCGCACGTGTGCGGGGAAAAGTTAAATTGAAAATACCCAAGGAGGGGGGGAGGGGGTGAGATGCGAACAACCTTATACGTATGTACATGTATACGCACCTGTAGGTTCGAGTACATTGTGGCGAACAACAATTTGGAGAGCGACAGCGACGAGGAGGCTCTCAAGTACCACATTAAAATAATTCAACTGGTCAGACTGGACCTGCAACGCGCCTACGAGCTCTACGAGAAATTGTTCATCAAGTGCGTCTTTTTTTTTTTTTTTTTGTTGTTGTTGGTTGTTGTTGTAATTTTCCATACTACACCGTCACAAACGAGTCGATGATAATTGTAATGGCGATTGTTGTATTTCGCAGGACGATAAACTTTCCGTACACAAAGACGCTGTACATAGCGTACGAGAAGCGCGTGAGCAGCCTGTGCATGGTGATCATCGAGGACATTTGCGGCAGGTTAAAGAGGATAGAGCTCGATGGCTCGAACGACCCGGAACTCGGCCTCGGCATGACCTTGTTCGAGCTGTACCTGGCCATACAAAGATTCGCCGCGGTCGGCCAAAACTTTTGCCCCGACGAGCTCAAGGACATGAAGGTCCAGTCTTACTACACGTGGTTCCAGGACGGGGTCGCCCATTGGCTCGAGATAGCCGCGTACAAGGCCATCAAGCGAATCGAGCGGGCGGTCGAGTTCGACAATCTCCAGCCGGTCGACTCGAGCGTCCAGTACACATCGAGCGCCGTCGACGCCCTCACCATCTTCTACCAGATCAAGGTCTTCTGGACCCAGTTGGCTTGGCCCGAGACCGAGGGTGCCTACGCCTTTGTCGCCAAGATCATCGATGTAACATGTCCTTTTTTTCCTATGAACGAGCCAATCGACGTCTCTGTCACCACAATGTTTTTACGAATGACGCGCCCTTGCAGGACATATGCAAGTGCTGCATCGTCTACGTCGATTGCATGGCCAACAAGGCGGAGGAGAGGCAGCGCAAGGAGGACGAGGCGAGCCCGGCCAACGTCTACGGCAGGCAGTTCAACGTGTCGGTGGCCTGGTGCTACGCCATCAACAACATAGACTACGTGCGCACGTCCATAGAGCCGCTGGCCAAGGATCTCGGGCTCGGTAGTGTCATAGAGGCACTCGCCGAGAACCTCAGCCAACAGGACGCCGATCGGTGCAATCGTACCTTACAGCTCATCATCGACAACGCCAAGGACACGATGAAGAACAAGATCGACGACATGCTCGAGAGCGTGGCGCGGAAAATGGTGCCCGCCATGGATCGGTAAGCCGATTTTTTCCTCCATTCTTCTCTTCTCCCTACGTTCACGTGTGCCGGTGCACCAGGTATCTGATGGAGGGCGCCGAGTTGTCGGGTTCGTCGAGCAACTCGATGGACAAGCTTATGGAGTACCTGGACCAGAATCTCATAACGTTGCACGACAATCTCAACAAGGACAACTTCCAGAGGATCCTGGTCATCATTTGGGAACTGATGGCCGCCGTTCTGGCCTCGCTCGTCGACAGTAACTTGGAGGTGAGTTTTTATTTATTTCTTTTTTCTTCAACTCATTAAGAAAAAATGAATTTGTCCAGCGCCGCCGACCGCCCTCTTACTACTCGAGTCTGCACAAAACGCTGCAGGCCCTCATACAGTTCTTCAATTTCGGGACCAACGAGGTGCCGAACGTCCAGGTGCTCGAGCGCATCGAGAAAACCCTGAAGCTCTACGGCATGGAGACGAACGAGGTCATCCACCGCTACTACCTGGACAGGCTAAAGGAACAGTCGGGTATCGAGAACGAGCCCCACGGCATGCTCACGGTCAAGGCGTACTTTTTCAACGACCTCCTCAACATGCAGATACTCAACGCCCGGAATCTCCGATCTACGGACGGTACGTGGGACACGCGTGTGTACATATTTATACATTTTTTTATTTTTTGTTTATTCGCTTTGGCAGGCAGCTGTAATTCTTACGTGAAAATCACCCTCTACCCCGAGGACGTTTTCGCGGGGACAAAGTCGCTCAAGACGGGCGTTCAGAAAGAAACGCAGTTTCCGCTCTACGACGAAAGTTTCAACATGTGAGTATATATGCGCACTGGCACACACCCGCAGCGAGCTCTTTTGCTATTTACTTGTTAGTTGACAAGTGAAATGTGTGGGTGTGCGTGTGTGTTTTTTGTTTGTGTGTACCTGTACGTATACGTATAAATACGGGCGCCGAACACGCGCTACGGGCCTTTTTATTGTAGATACTTGCAAGATTTACGTTTGGAGCGTAAAATGGCTGACTGCGGAGAAAACAGCGTGTATGTATACACACAAAGTCGGCAGTCATCCGAGGGTCGAAAAGAGATTTATGCTTCGAGGAGCAAAACATCGGTTTTGTCATTCTCCCGTTTCTGGGCTTTAAAACCGTGGCTCGAAAAACACGCGTCATCTCCCAAATATTGTGATTTACACTGGCGTACATTTTCACTTTCTCTCCAAATAGATATTAAAAACACGGGCTTTGAGTTGTTTCCGAATATTACACGCACTACACTTTCACCGAGTATAAATACGTTGTTATTCGTTTTCCTTTTGCGGCTAAACTTTTGTAAATTATTTAATTACACGGCCTACTTTATGGGTGTCGATAATGTTTTTAACTATCCGTAATCGTAATCTTACCTGCAACAGACGAGGAATCCTCTCGATGAGTTGATATTCGCCGTCGCGAGCAGAGATCCAGGAGTGAAAAATCGATACTTCGTAGGTACCACCGGATTGTTGTGCGCGTATGTCAGAAAGAAAGTAAAAATAACAATAGTAACAGGGAGGACGCGCGTCCCTCCGCACGTTGTCGACGTTCAAAGAGTACAGAACGAAAAATGGCCTGCCGGAGCGCCGGAGAAGGCACAGGGGCGACCTGTACACACACAAAGACGACCAATAGGCACGGCTCCCGCCACTTTGGGCACCGGTCGCGTGACTCCATACCTGTATAACACACATAGACGAATAGAAAATAATCCAGCCGGTCGCCGTCCTCCTCCTCCTCTTCTGGGCGTCGAATTATCATTACCCACGAGTATTATTCCCGTGGGTCGGTTATTCTCTCTCTCCCTTTTCCTTCGCTCTCGTTACCTTAAATTTATACCTTTTATTTATTTATTTTTTAAACTTTTTGTACATGTTTTTCGTGCACAAAGTACTCGCGTGTCCTCATTTTGTCTTCACGCTTATTTGCATACACGTGTCCGAAAAAGAAGTAAAAAGCCGGGAGTGTTGCGTAAGCCGATGATACGCGCGTAATAAACGGCCGTGCGTTAATGAGACTATGTGGTGTATAATCGATAGAAAATACGTGAAATAAGTGACGGGTGGCCGGACGTGTATAATTATATCCATGGAATTTCTCGTTTTCTCGTTTTCGTCGGCGCTTCAGTCCATTGACGACGGAGCAGAGGAAGCTCGAGAACGCAATAATAAGGTTCGAAGTGAAAGACAAGGACTTTTTGCGAACGAAATTCATGGCCGAGTGCTTCATGCGGTTCGGCGACATCCACGAGAAGGACTCCCACCAGGGATTCGGCCAACTTGAACAAATCCACTTGAAACTTTCGCGGCCCACATCTCAAAGTGAGTCGCACCGTGTACATTGCTACGCATACCTTTAAAAGTTAACAATGCTCTCTCTCTCTCTCTCGAGTTGTAATTGCATATGCATATACATCATGCGCAATGGTACTTTTGGATTATTGCCACTGGTGTGTACGGCGAGAGATGCTTCCAAGCTCCTTTCCCCCTCTGACTTTGTTTTTTTAATCAGGTTCCGAAGTTATCAACGTCTTGTCACGCCGCAAGGGCGACAACTTGGCATCGAACTTCATGTCGGGGCTACAGTCGAAAATGAACTCCAGCTGAAGATGACGTCTTTTTGCAACACCAGGCCCGAGCTGACTCTATCTTTTTATACATGAATATAATATAAAAATAATAATAATAATAATAATAATACATGGAGCTCCGTTAGTGCGATAGGAAGCATGTGTACAAAAAACCAATTAGCTTCTGTGCAGTGTACCTCACGATCATAAAACATATATGTACTGTAACGGAACAAAGAGCCGTTATGATCTGATGATATTTGTTAAAGTTATTTTTTTTAAGAATTAAAAAAAAAAATTGCTTATCTTTTTAAGTGTACTTGAAAGATTATTTATCGTCACACCCGATGAGCCCTTGTTTACGTGTTTGTAGGATCACGTGTACACATCTATATATGGAAAATGGAAGAGGAAAACAAAAATACACGTGATGTCATATACGAATTTACTCTTGTGATAATAAAAAAAGTAGCTAACGACTGTTATATATATATTATATACGTTTGAATATTCTTTCGTCATTTATTATCAGATATTAATTTATTAATAGAATAAAAAATGACAAGTAATACATTAAATATAATCTAATTAACATTGAATCTGAATGCGTTTGTCTAACCCTGATTTGCCATACTGTTTGCTAGGCGCTTTCGGACATTACAGTAAAATGGTATTTTTTTTTATTTTTTTTTTATTTTTCTTTTTTTTGTTTCTTTGTTAATTTGGTATTGCCACACAATTATTGATCAGCAGAACGTGCAATCAATTCCTTCGCGGAAAATGTTATTGTTATGTTGTCTATTTTTATTCCACAATCTTTATTTTATGTTTGTTTTTTTTTTTTGTTTTTTTTTTTTTACAAAACTTCCTGGCCGGTGTCTGGGCAGTTGAGCTGAGTGAATACATTATAGCCATTTAATATATTTATATAGGGTTTATTAATCGAATAAAAAATTTATCTATATATATACCATAAGGCGCGAAGCACACGTGACATTTTTCTTTTTATTTTGGAGAACCGAAGCACCCACGAGCGGAAGACCTGCACTTTGAAAAATTTTCTTATTCATTTTATCGTTAACATTGCTGTTTCTTTGACGAATTTACAAGCACACCCTACACCAAAAGCAAGGTGACATTTATATTCACGTAGTTTTATTGTTCATTCTTCTATTCTCTCGTTCAATCTACTGTGTTATCTTAGGATGCTTCGACTATACATGTGAGTGATTTTGTTACAAAGTCCGCGAGCGGATTTTTTTTTTTTTTTTTTTTTTCTTCTACCTTGGCAGTGAGGTACATGTTTTATCTGTTTTCTTATGAAATCGAGAAAACTCTTGTTTATCTTCGTTTCGGTTCTGACGCATTGTATTTTTTTCCCTTACATCGAATTGTTTGGATAGCAAAGGAAAATAAATGAAAACAAAAATACCTATACATACACGTACATACAAAACTATAAATACTGAGCTGTTAAAAGTAAAACAAGTAAATTAATTTCGTCGCACGATTCGTTTTTCGAATTTTTATTATGTAAGCAACATGACTATTTTTGTGAACTGAATCACGTAACAAAAATATAAAAATGAAGTGTTTTCAGCGAGTAGAAGAAAATTGCGATGAAATTATTTTACACTGCACCTGTGTGAGATGTCTATTAGCACTTGGACGCAAAAGAAGAGCGTAGAATTTATAAAACTAAATATTGTGACACGTAAGTTTTTCACGACAACGTAAAAAATGCGTTACAAATATTTAAACGAAATTTGTCGAGCAGTGAAAATAAATTTTCTCTCACGTGGTATAATTAACGTATGCGATCGGTATAATAATAATGACAATAATAGTATCGAAAATAATAGTATTTATAATTAAACATGATAATCATAATAAAATACATGACATTTGTCTCGATGTAATTACAGGGTAAAGCAAAAAAAAACTTATTGCTTAAAATAAATACATAGATGCGTGGTTCGACCGTTTTTTTTTAATTTTCTTAAACATCTAATACTCTCACATTGTTTCTCTTTTCCGGTTCATTTAAATATTTAGCACGAGAGATAGAGAGAGTGAACGGGAGTGCGTGCCCGCACCCGAATTTTTCTGTTTCTCGAACACAAATTGCGCTGCATTGTCTTTTTGTTTATTTATTATTATTACTATCATTTTTTTTTTTTTTTTCCCGTAAAAAGTTTGTTTTTTTACGAAATATTTTCGAGTTCAGGGCGGCCACGCACTCACCGTCGGATAATAAACAGTTATTGCGTTAAATTTTTAGTTTACATTTAATGTAATACTTACTCGACGATTTAATGTTTTTTTTCTTTTTACTTTTTATTATTACTATTATTATCAAACTTTGTTTGTGTTTCGTTATAACATACTTGTACTTAGAACATTTTTATTACGGTTAACTCGTTAACTTAATTGTTTTCCTTAGTCTTCTTGAGTACGTGTTTTATGATGGGTTCCTCGGGCAGAGCTTATGAGCACAAAAAGCGTCGTCGATTATATATATGTACAGGGATGCCAGACGAATTGTCGCACTTTTAAATATACATGCACGTATTATGTATATATATATATGTGTGTATTATTTATGTATATGTTTTAATAATCGCAAATCCACATATTGTTACATGCAGGCAAATATCGGTTACGTAGACAGTGGTTAGCATATATACGAGAGAGGGGCGGGGGGGGGGGCACGAGGATATTATTATAGTATGAAAAGGGAATCGGAGATGTCGATAGTTGATGGGAGACGGGCTCTCGCGTGCACGACGGCACGGGCGAGGGGGTGGTTAAACAGCGGGGCAAAGTATATTGTACTTATAGAGGGCAGTGAAATGTCGCATGCGAAATCGGCGCGTTGAACACATGATATTATATGTTCGCACTGATGTCGAGTCTCTCTTCATTTTTGACTTTCGCGCGTCAAAAATAACAAGGCTCATCCGTGTCTAATGCTAAAAATAAATAATTTTCGGATAAAATATGTTTAGAAAAGTTTAAAAAAGCTATACGTATCATCGTCGGGCGATGATGCATGTACAATTTCACAAAATATCTTTTACAACCGTACAACGAAACTCCGTATACTTACATCGTCCCGCGCGCGAATTCCAAAATTCAATTCCAACGGTGTATAGTAATAATCAATGATAAATCTCAAAAAAATCTCGCTAACGTGCAAAAAGGTATTCTTGTTTCATTACCTTGAGATACTTGTAAGAGTACCTATACTTGTAAAATCCGTCGTATGAAAAACACGATGATTCGCAAAAATTTTCGGATTCTCGATAACTACCTATTATAAAACATGATATAAGTCGCGTAATCACGATCATTCCAACATTGAGAATAAAATTTCTGCCCCGACAGATTTCGCTGGCGGTCGAGCGAATAGAAAATGTGCACATATATATACGGATGGTAGAGAGGATGGGGATGAAAGATAGAGAAAAAGAGAGAGAGAGGGGGGGGGGTGAGGGGGATAAAACAGCACGAGGAGTTGGAAAGGAGACGTCGATGATCCATCTGTCATTCCCTCGTCAAGCGTATACAATGTACCGCGCGCGCATTCCTTCCACATAATACTCGTAGGAGGAAAAGAGAGTGGCGGAGCCAAAAAGGACAGAAGAAAAAGAGGGAGAGCGAGAGAGAGTAGACGCGGAGGGTAATTGTTTGTAGCACGTATATGCAAGCGGCTGAGCTTTTTTTTCCGTACAAAAAATAGGAGGGCCCCGTAACACGTATGGGTGTATAATTACGCGTGGGTTGCCGCTGCTGTTGCACGCGACGCGCACACGTATATACAATATCCCATTAGACTGCACACGGTCTGAGAGACGTTGATTTTTTTTTTTTTTTTTTATTCCTTCTTCGGTATTCCCCCTTGGTTTTTGCATAGGTGCGCGTACGTTCATTCGTCATTGTACCGCGACGCGCGCACTCGCCACCGAGCTACGGAAAGCTCGACGGTAATTATTGCACTTTCATAAATATTATGCAAATGCGACTTTACGTATGTATGAGCCATATCGCGATCCCCGACTAATAACATAACGAGCCGTCGGGCGTCCCCGTAAACGTGTCGAGAAAAATTTATCGGCGAAAAAAAATCTGCAACCCCTCGCGCGCACGATATAGCTTTTTTACCATCCGCCGTGGGGTAAACAACCGATAGTTTAAAGACGTTTCTCTGTCAGCATCCCTTGATTGCAAGAGGGGCACGTAAAGAGGATCAGAAAAAAAAGACGAGCTTTTCCGGTTGAAAAAAGCCGCGCAGTATCAGAGACACCCACGGACATATATGTTATATATATATATATATATATGTATATGTGTGGGGCACGTCGCGTGCAAGTACAAGCAGCACAGCCGGGGATGTTGGTACATGGCGTACAAGCGGAGCCCAGGAGCTGTAAGGATTTAACCAGCCCGGTAATGCGCGTATCGAGCCGCGAGCATCTGCACGCCCCATCCGGCTGCCGATGCACCGAGCGACGAAACTTTATCCCTCACCCTCGCTCCCGCTCTCATGTATACGTATGTATATAGCACGGGACGCAGGTGTGCTCTTCCCTCCGCGGCTACGACCACTGTATCTCGCAAGCTCGCCTTTCACGCTAGTCTGGCTCCTCTGCTTCGACTTCCTCTCCTGCTATACAACGCTGCTTCGGAGTGCACCAAGAGATCCGGCTGCTGTCTCTCCTTTTCCCCTCGTCGAGTGGCGCTTTAGACGTACACGTTATACAGGGGAAATAATATAAAGAAAGGGAGACGGGGGAGATGGGGGGGGGAGTTAGTAGCACTTGCGCGTGCACGTGCACTTGCGCACGAGGTCCACGTCCTTGGTGTACCGGGTGCCGTCGTTGCAGATCAGCCGAATCTGGAAACACGAAGAGCAGAGGAAGTATACACGCGCAGTCTCGTTTGTACACAGCATTTTCCCCCATATTCGGGGGATTGGCTGGGGAGGGAGGGCCAAAAGGGGAATTTAATTTCCCTCAAGAGACGTCAGCGACGTTACAAGTCGTGTTTATCTCGCGTTAATTGGAACTGCAGAAGTTGAACGAGCGTAGAAGCGCGTTCGCTGAATGGCTGAATGAAAGACGGGGCCCGATCGTTGTTGTTTTGACGCGCGTGGATGGGGTGGGTGAAAAAAAAAAAAAAAAAAAAAAAAAAAACAAAAAAGAAAAATGAATGCGCAGGTGGTAATAATAACAATGATGATGAATACCTTGCGCCTCTTGGTCTTGCGCGGTAAGCAGCAAAAGTTGCCGCAGCTGCCCCAGCATTTGGCGAGCTTGACGGGTCGGCGGCTTCGGCATCCGTTCGCTGTGTAGTACTCGCGAATGTGCTCCTTCCGGCAGGTCGGCGCTGCATCGCGTTTTGTACCCATGTACGAGTAAAAGGCCGGGGGGAGAGAGAGAGAGAACAAAAAAGAAAAAGAAATTAAAAACCTGAGGGTGTCTCGCGTGGATGAGCAATTTGCCTCGAGTACGTTACCTTTGTCGCAGTACCGTCCCTGCCAGCCGATTTGGCATTTGCACGTGTAGCCGGTGCCGAAGGGCGCGGGCTCGCAAGCCGAGCCTTTTTTGCACTCGTGTCTCATGCAAGGGTCGATGTTGCTCGAGCTGGACAACACCGCGAAATCTGGGAAAAAAAAACCAAAGAAAACTAGCTAGAGAAAATCCAGCAAATGCAGCAGTTGGAGATAGTATTATAATTGACAGTGTCAGGGAAGGGAGACGCACCCGAATGCTCGTGCAGGACATGCTGGGGCTGTTGGACGACGAGGTGCTGTTGCTGCTGGTGTTGGTCGGCGTTGTCGACTTGCATGTTGTCATCCGCGTTGGCGTCGGCCGTGGCCCCGTCTGTTCCCCCGTTCTTGTTCGCCTCGTCAGCTTCCTCCTCGTCGTCTTCGTTGCCGTCGTTGGCCCCGCAGCCCGGCTGGACCCCGCTCATCTTTGCCGCGTTGCTAAAGTCCACCAGCTTATGATTGATCCACATCTCCGAAATGCACCCTGAGCCGCGAACATGAAACAGACGCGCGCAAAGTGCGACACCAGCTCCGTCTTTATCACCGGCTTTCAATAACTTTTGGGGGTATGGGAGGCTGCTCGAGGGGTTGCCCGGCATTAGCATAAATTTTTAATAAAACTCTGCCACTGGCACCGGGCAGCCTCGGGCAAACACCATATATTACACGTATACAGAGAGGGCCAAAAGAGAGACAATTGTTTGTGCGGCTTATTAATAAAAGCACAAGGGCTTAGATGATACGCTGTTGGTTGGCGGTCCAATTGTAGCGCTCCCCCGGCGGCAGCGGCGCGTCAATGATAAAATTCAATCGAGCAGAGAAAGGGGGACGACAGACGCAGTAGGTATAGGTAGATTGGTGGGTGTATATAACACACAGAGTCAATAACGTATATAGTTATGCGGTGGCGGTGGCAACTCGCGTAAGAATAAGGGGAGACGGATGGATGGATGGCTGGAGAGAGAGAGAGAGAGAGAGAGAGTTATACACCTACCCCGAAAGCTCGTAATGTTGCGCAAATGGAATTCGGTGAAGGCGACGGTGGCAGTATCCGTGGCAACGCCCCCGACGTACATGGGCTTGGTTAGCTTGAGGTAGTCCTTGGGCCCGTCGTTGATGATGCTGCGCGCCGCGCCCCGGTCGATCCTCATGGTAAAGTTCTTCTTGATGGCCATGAGCTCGGCCATGTGGGGCTTGCCGTCCGACACCTGCTCGTAGCTGTACATCGTCGAGGTCGGGTAATTACCCACGTCGTACGAGACGCGGACGCGTCCGTTGAACAACTCCACGGCCAAGTGCTCGCCGCTCTGGCCATCATAAAGCAGTACTCCGTTCTCCTGGCTCGTTGTAAAAATAATCGTCACGTTTGCCTCGGGCCTCGTGCGAAGTGGCTCCAACTCGACCAGCGAGTTGTTATCGATAAAGCTCAGACTCGTCATGTACTCACACCGCTTGCCTTTTTTTATCAAAACCCAATCATTATTATTATTATTATTATTATTAATATTATCATTACTAACATTTTTTCCCTACACAACTACGTGTATTTTTATTTATATTTCTCCCTCGTGCGTATCACTTCGGGAAAGGGGGGGAGGGGGGTGGGCGAAATTTTTTTTCCCGCCCCAAGTCGTAAGTAAGTACGTGACTTCTCGCGAGGAATAAAAGGGAAAAGAGTGGTGTGAGCCCCGTATACAAGTGCAGAGGTGCGGAAGCTCCGTGGTAAAAGTCAATTTTCTGGGCAACGCGGCGGCAGTCGCAGCTTGCCGGACGCGCTGACAGGGCGCCGCGTGAACGTGTGCACAGTATACACGCGCGCAGGACCGGCCGAAGGTGAGATCTTGGGTTTTTTTTATTTTTTTTATTTTTTTTTTTATTTCCCGGCTCGATCCTCTCTCGGCCAAGTTTCTCGTTCTCGCGCGCGTCGAAAAGTCAATTTCGAGATAAACGCCCGGTCCTTTGAAAATTGCTTGGACCAGCGGAGAAAAGGAAAAGGAAGTAAACTCATACCTACGTGGAAAAAGTCGATCGGAGGAAAGCCGTGGGAAGAGAAACCTCGAGGGGCGTAATTAAAAACTTTGATCCGACTCCGGATAGAGAGAAAGAGAGCTTGCCACGAGTATTGCTTCAAGTGTACTTATACTATAGTTCGTATGAACGCGTAAGTATATCTCGTGTAATCGATGTGAAACAAAAAAATGTCACGCCACACACCGAGGCAATTTTTATTCATTCGGTCTCTTTGTTTTTTTTTTAGTTAGGTATATTGGGCCGAACTCGAGGATCGGCGGAATTCTGCGAGGTCAGAGACAATTATCGCGCCGATGGGGAGTGGCGAATCAAGGAAGGGAAGAGGCTTTAAGAATTCGCGCGATTTGCATGGTAATGCGCGGTGGGGGAGCAACGAAGGCACTTTACATCCCCCTGAATGTAATTAAAGAACCGAGTCGCCTCCTCCTCGGTCATTCAACAATCCGAGTCACAAAAAAAAGGGGGGAGGGAATGAAAAATCACGCGCTCCTTGTAATATATATTAATTTTATGCAAATAGTGGATTTTAATTAAGAAATAAAAGGTGGATTTATCGGTTCGTGGCAGTATTGTTGGCATACATATAGCATATACCCAGCAAAGGGAGCTCACCAGTGTAGCCAGGATGGCACTGGCACAGGTAATCGGCTCCAGATCCCGGCGATGGTAGGAAACAAGCACCATGTTGGCAGTCATGATGAGCACACGGACTAGTTTGAGGGTATAGTAAGGCAGTTGATGGTGCAACTTCGCAGTACCTCCCTGTATAATCTGGTGCGCACTTGCAAGCGTAATTGTTTATGCCATCGATGCAGGTAGCACCATTCTGCAAATCAAACGGAAAAATATACATACATACATATGTAAATATTGATCAGTGGTGACTCATGCGGACAATACTGAAAAAAAAATTGCAAGGGTTTTTACGACGATCTCATACTTGTGCTGACAGTCCACATAACTATCCAATAATATTATTATGCATCTTAAAAAAACGTAGTGTTTGCAACAGTTACTTTTTATACATAGACACACGCGCCCACACGCACAAAATGTACATATGTAAGATTATGCAAATCAATATATCAGCTGTATACAGGTGAGCAGTTTTTTGCACAAACGAAAAAGATGACTGGTAAAGGACCAATCTAAAGACAATAAAAGTTCAATACCCTAACGATAAGGTTAGTATGATGTTACAGTTTTAGAATAACATTTGTTTGAAATTTTAAACTTTGTTTTTGGTGATTTTGTATTTTTCAACAAATATAGTTTATGGAAGCGACAAAATTAAGGTTACATCTCATCTCATACGGGTCTGGCCTGTTAGATGATCGTCAGCTTCATATCTATTAGACCAGACACCGGAGATTTTGGCCTGCATTTGCCAGGCGGGAGCAATGTTTTGATTAATTCTTAAGCATTTTTTGCCGTAGCACACGATTATCGTTACCCGCACTCTGTAAATGTTGTGCTTCATTTTTCAATTAATTTAAGTAAATTTTTTCACGATGTGTTTTATATCACTTTTTCTGGGCATTTTTTGAAACATATACCTATAAAGTTTCTTATTTCTTACTTAATAATCTCAAAAGTAAGCCCAGGTAGAGGACGCTAAGCATTTTTGTTCAACAGTACGTAGCGTTCAAAGTTAAAAAATGTGCTTTGTTACTTATTTAATATTTCAAGAACAATAATACCCAGAAGCTTGAGATTTCCTGAAATTGTTGCAAAATGTCCTTACTGTTGTACAAAACAGTTAGACCTGTTAAACTATACCAGAAAATTAAAAAAACTATTAAAGTTTTGTATGCCGTTGGAATTTTTTTAAAAATTTTACATCGATTTTATTACAGTTTTGTAGCTACACTGCTTTTTGACTCACAAATAAAACTGTGTAACTTTTTTAATTAAACGTCTTGAGGATTTGCGTTCTTACTGTTGAAGAGCTGCTTTTTTTTTTTATACATTTAAAAAAATAAAAATTAAAAAACAAAAATACGACGTAGCATGATCAGGAGCCAAGATGACTTTTTTTTTTCAATTTATCAGCCGTTAATTATTAACCGATCTTGCTGAAACTTGCTCATGTTGTTGTTCAATACTTATATTTTCATTTAAAAAATAGCAATCTGTATGCAGCCAAATAATAATAAAATCCCGGTAAAACAAGCAGTACTGTATTCGCGGTGTTAGCCAGATTCTTACTTTCAGTGAAGGAGGACGAGCCACTGCGGCGCGGCGGTGGAGTGGCAGCTCTCCGAGCGAAGTTTGACGAAAAGAGAGCAAGTGGTTTTAAATATTCCATGCTTGTTAAAATATCAATTTCACAGTTTTCTCTGCACGTTCAAAAATCCTTTTGAAATCGATTTGGGTTAGCTTGACAATATATTATAATCGATAGTGATTATTGTTATTATGTACGATGAAAATATTTGTCAATAATTTTTCATTTTCGTTTAGCCGTAATAACGGTTTTNTTTTTTTTTTTTTTTTTTTTTTTTTTTTTTTCATTTATTTCAATCCGATTGTGTTGAAATGTTCCCTGCAGGTAAGAGAAAGAGGAAATTTGTTTTTCCATCGATAGACGCTGAGCTTATACGCGCCACTTATTGCCTCGGTGGAGAGCAAAACAAATTCACCGCGATCCTCTTTGCAAACCTCTACACAGATGCGCGTGTAAGTATATATACCCGCTAACCGAGGTAACGAAAGTCTTCCGCAAAGCACGCCAATGCATACACACACCTACATGGTAAATATATTTGTACATATAACGCGGTACGTATAGCATTGCTTCATGTGGAAGCAGGCCGTGTGTACAACTCATCTACCTATATTATATATTATATATGTATGAGCCCGTTGACCTCAATCTTTCCGCAGAGCCGTGCAGCTTATACCTATCGCGTAGCGCGAGGACTTCCCTCCTCTAATAGATTTAATGGCGGAATCTCGATGCTCTTTGTTGTAACGTCCTTATTTGCCAACTTGGGTGCACGAGAGACCGGCTGCACCCCTTTTTTTCCTCTTCGTATATCCTACGGTGTATATCTTTCTTACCCCCCCCCAGCCTCCCTCTTTCACTCTCGCGCTTTGGCGTCGAGTGATTTTATGTGTAAAAGTTTACCACCGGTCAAGCTTTAAAGTAGCTTACGTCGAGTGAGCCTTTTAAAATGACAGAGAGAGAGAGAGAGAGAGTGGAGGACGAACAAGCCATTTAATACGTGTACACGGGGGGGGGGGGATATAGTGCGGCCAAGTTGGCTTTTACAGCGAACAAAAAGAAAGGTATACATTGATGCTGATTGACCAACGTGATTTTACACCTCGAGAAAATCCTCCTCCGTTACTGCTCATTTGTCCTCGGGAATTTATCTGCCAGAGGGAGATTCTCCTTTTTTTTCCCTTTCTCTCGAGGGATTATGTTCTCCGACAATCGATCCGTACCCGCGCATGTTACAGGCTCGTGCGAACATTGCAGATTAATCCCCGCTGATTTTAACATAGACTCGAGGCAGCGAAAGGGGAGAGGCCTTTTGTTGTTTTGTTGGATTTCCTTTTTGTCCATAATGTATATGTATATACGCGTGCTCTCGCAATCGATGATACAAGCGCGCGTGCTATTTATAAAGGGGGAGGGGAGGGTACAAAATAATTGAGTTGGCTCGGAAAATACAAGTAATAACATATATTGTGTACATATGGGTACGAAACAATGCCGCTTTTGAAAGGACATATAATATTATTAAATATTATGTACATTGGGTGAAAGAGTAACCTCACCTGGCAGAGATGATTATCGCAGTCATCGAGGTTGTCAGTGCAATTGGCACCAGCGAAGCCGCTCGCGCACTCGCAGCTGTAGTGGCTCTGGTGGTCGACGCATCTGCCTCCGTTTTTGCAAGGATTGTGTTCCTTTGTGCAAAAGGGTATTTTTGTCTCGCAGTACTCGCCGGTAAATCCTGGTAGGCAGTCGCATCGGTAGGCCTGGACGAGATCGACGCAGCTCGCGTTGTTGACGCACTTGTGACTCGCGCAGTCGTCGACGTTGCTCTCGCATCGGAGCCCCTCGTATCCGGGTGCGCAGTTGCAACTAAAGTTGGCGATCGGAAAACAAATTTTTTTTTTTCTCATCATACGCAGCGTATATAATAATATACGTATTCAGAAACGAGTGTTGCCGGGCGAAAAAAGGCGATTAGTTGCGTTGGCCATTTGACAATTGCCATGCAGTTTGATATACAGTTGCGCGTGCAAGATATATAACGAATGGCCCTTTTTCACGCAGGGCGTTTCAAAGCTAGACCGGCTAATGGCACGTGACCGTATTCTCGCTTTTAGGCGACCTACATAATATTCATTTTAATGTTAAACATAAAGATGTGTATACACGTACGTGTATTTATAAAAGGAAAAAGACTTGACCCAAAAGCTTTAGAGAGAGAGAGAGAGAGAGAGAAAGAGTTGATGAGAAACCTTTATAAAAGCCACAGAGTGAGTACAGAAAGTCTTTCGAGATATTATAAAAATGTGCAGCCGACGATGGAGCGGAGGAATTAAGAGCGATTTACTTTTCTAAAGGAACTTTGAACCAAGCTTTCATTCCCTTTTTTTTTTTTTTTTTTTTTCTTCTTGATACAAAAAGCTCCGGCTGTTTACAGTGAGTGGCACTTTCGTTGAGAAAAGAATTTCAATTTACCATCCAATTTGCACCGATCAACAAAAACACAACGACATCACCTATATATATATATAATATACACACGTACAAAATGCCCAACTTCTAGCATCACCACCTCGTTAAACTAACTTGAGGATGGAGGGAAAAGTAAATCAATGCCTCGGTAGCGAAACAAAAAGCTCGAGCCAACAACCCTCCGCCCCGTAGTGCATTAATCGAGCTCGACAGTATACACGGCGGCGGTAGCACGAGCTATCCTTTTCCTTTTTTTACCAACAAGCCAGAGAGTATTTGTGTATGCAAATGTTAAATAAAAATCCGAGAGACGCTCGGATAAGGTACGCGCGCGAGCGCGTGTGTGCGCATAGTACATGTACACTTGGAAACAGTCTTATAGGCTTAAGAAACTCGGGGGTGCAAAGACAAACCCGGGGATAGCTCGAGAGAGGGAGGGCGCGCAAACGTAATACCTCTACACACTGCAGTTTCGACTTTTGCTCGTTAATTCCCCAAAGAGCGGAGCAAAGCAGGAGAAAGTTGAGGAAAAAAAAAAGTCCAAAACAACAAAACACGGCATATGAAAAAGAAACAAAAAAAAAAAAAAATGTGTACGATATACAACGTGTTCGAGTGTCAAGTAACGGAGAGTCACCTGAATCTTCCTTCCTCCAGTACTTTACAAGATCCGGCGTTCCGGCAAGGATTTCCATAGCACGCGTCAATTTTATGTTGGCACCTGTCCCCGTGATATCCTGGCGCGCATTTGCAACGAAAGTGTTTGTCTGGTAGCGCCTCGCATGCTCCTCCGTTCTGGCAGGGCGTAGTATAGCACACGTTGCATTTCGCCAGTACCTCGGCTGGCTGTTGTTTGGCTGCGCGGAAGAAAGGTCTACGATTAATTAGAGAAATTTTAGTAAATGTGACCCGACCGATGCCTCCCTGCCTGCCTCGCCTCCAACAGCCCAATTTTATTTTATTTTTTTTATTTTCCCAACAGCCATACACCAAGCACACTACACACTTAACAATCAAACAAACTACCACATATAGATACACGAATAAGGGAAAAAAAAGGGAGTTCAATAAAGCGGGGGACGTTTTTTTACACCATACACGAGAGCCCGTCGCGCGAAACTGGCGCAACTCTAGTGCAAAGTTGAGGCGAGTTTTCTCAAAACAGATTGAAAAGTTTTATCGACGCGCCATCGTTTTTCTCCACCCTCGCGCTTTTTCTCTTCTAAAAATGATTAATCCGAGTCCACCGTGTGCGGGGATACGGCACTTTTCGTTTTTATCTGATTTCCGCGCTTTTCAAGAAGCTTGTTTTCAACCGTACGAGTGGGCTTTTAAACTCCCTGCGATAATTCTTTGGAAAAGCCGTGCTCTCGAGACTCCGAAGAAAGGGATGGAAGGAAGGAGAGATTTTTTCCTAAATCGTGTAACCGAGACCTTATCGCCCAAAGATATAAGTGCATATATATATATACATGTATACGCGCGACTAAACTGCAAAGTGCCGGTCGTAAAAGCTTAATTTGATTGTCCTGCAAGTTTACACGTGTATGCATATACAGGTATACGCACTCGAAGTATTATCGTTGCGCAAAGTGGGTCCTTACTCGGCGATTTTTCCCAGGAAATATAAAAAGTGGCTCAACTTTGCCGATATCGCGCACGAACGTAAATCCCCCCTCCCTCCTTTCGCCTTTCTATCTACGCTTACCCGAGGGGATATTACTGTGATTAAGGTAAATGGAGGAATAATAATTTTTTTTTCTCCTCTTTTTTTTTTTTTTTTTTTCTTTCTAACTCGATGATGATTCGTTGCAAAGCAAAAGTTTTACTGTATTGCACGTAATAACGGTGTCGTGTAAGTAAAAGTCGATTTTAGGTATCGGAATAGGTTTGGGGGGTAGGTACATGAACAGCTCCACTGCAAAAGAGATGACAAAAGCAAAGAAAATGTACGTGCCACGCGGTAAAAGCGTGCCATAAAGAACACCCGTGCAAGCTCTTTCCACCTATTTGCCAAGTACAGCAACGGATGTACGATTTTTGTGCAATATCGCCAAGTAAATTTAGGAATCTCGAGGGTATACGCATTGAATTTTGCTCTGTTTTATCGCGAAAAGTGAAGCAAACTATTTTCATTGCGACGATACCAGTTATGCGTACATCGACAGAATTAAAAATAAAGTTCTCGGGATACACCCGAATGTCAGAGCTAATCAGTCTCATGCGATATGATGTGAATACTACGGGTAAAATCGTTCCGGAAATTGCCAAACGCAACTACAGCTTTGACGCACACTCCACGTATAATCTCGAGTACTAATCTGCTTCATCTGTCGATGGTACCGAACTTTTACCGATACTTCAGTAAAAACGATGATATCCCGTTTTTTTCCATTTCTCCACGTAAGCAAACGTTACAATCGTTAAAAGCTCTCGAACTGAAATTCGTTGTACAAATAGAACGCGGGATATGAGAAATCGGTAATGGATTCTAATGTTTGAATTTACAAAAAAAAAACAAGGAAAATATGACGAAAACAGCTAATAAGTGGGACACGCTCGGTTCGACCATAATTTTTCTCGCTGTACGCGCGTGCCCCTTTTACACATCACTTGCCGGTACCCATGTGTGGGAATGTACCTATAATACAGTGCGCGGTCGAAAAAAAACCGCTACATCTCGATTGATTTATCAGCCGCTAGTTTATTTCTCACCGGGCCACCGACGCAAAAAAAAAAAGATCGTAGCTCTTATCGCGATACACCGGGCGCCAACGTACCACGGAAAAACGGGCGGCGTGGCGACTCTCTTCTGCCCCGATTGATTTAGCACCGCTCATCCGTGTTACCGTACTTTCCCCCAATGACCCCTTCCGCTCGAGCCAAATAATCGATCGAGGGTATTTTCCTACGTTATGAGTCGTGCAACGTAGCGCGGTAGGGGGAAAAAAGCTGCGGGTGCGACCTCCGCGTTATTATAAGGACGCGCGGTTTCGTAATTCCGCGTTGCATAATTCACGAGGAGGGCCGGCTGCGGGCCCCCGTAAACGTCTCGACGGAGCTCGAGGATGCGGAAAATTTATTTTTACGAGGGGCTTTTTTTTTTCCTCGCTCCCACGGGTCCGGTGACCTTACGTTACATGCAGCTTCCTTGCTTTCCGCGGGTTGTACGGTTGTACGACTCGCCGTGCTTTTTTTTACTCTGCTTCAATCAGGGAATTCAGGTGCATCCGATTTATTTAGCGATTTTTGCGGGCGATGCTAATGTAAATATCGGGCGCGCGCGCGGGGAGGGAAAAAAAGAGAGAGAAGTAGATAGCAAATGGGATGAGAGGTGCAGAGAGCCATCAAGTGCTCCTTGCGTGCGTGGGCGTAGGTATATTTATATAATATTTCAAGTTCTTCGTCGGCGCGGTCGTTTAGTGCATTTCAGGTGGGTCGCAATGACGTTAAAAGGCGTATCGCCAGAGTCGTTTATTTCCCGTCTTCGGTGCTTCAAACTGAGATCTCTTTATGCTCGTGCACGTGCACAGATACGACGGTAATCGCGTCGAAATCCAGGCCCTCCGATCGACCATGAACCATAATGACAATAATGGCGCCATTAACAACGAAATATCGTTATGGATTTAAGTTGTATATGCAGTATATGCAAGAATAATACGTTTTGCGCGATTTATTACGGCTGTTCTCGTTTAATCGTCCTTTTTATGCGTTTGCGAGATTTTTCGCAATCAAACACGAGTAAAGGATGAATTTATCGAGCTCGATCAAAGTTTTTCTGCAGCAAAGGTTTATTACTCCCAAGCTGGAAAAGTGTTTCGGTTTCGTTACATACGAAAGAGCTTGCACCATTACCAGTGAGTTTTACATTCCAACACCAAAACAGAAAAAAAAAAACATCAAGCAAATCAAAGCAAAAAAAAAAAAAAAAAAAAAGAGGAGGGAGAAAAAAGGCGTGTAGCTGGAAAAACCACGGAGCGAGGCGTCGGATGAAATAATGAGTGAAAAAAGAACAATATGGAACGAAAACCAACTACAGGACGATGATAAAAGCCTACAGGCTGTATTTTTCGCAGTTGGGCGCGCCGATGTACCGTTTAAATCGAACGAACGAATTAACACAAAAGCTGCAAGGTGTGTATATGTATACATGTATCTTTCTCGTTTGCACGGATAACACGAAATATCAATTAATACATGCGCGCTCGCTGTGCCCGGACAGCAGCGGCTTTTGTCAATTAAACGATAACGAGTGATTCCGCTTGCGACGGATGACCTTTTCTTTTTTTTTTTTTTTTTCGAGAGAGAGAGAGATTTTGCAATTAACGTTTCCATAAACTGGCAAATCAAGGCTCCCGCATTTCCAAGCCAAAAATCAAAGAGTCGATTTCCTCGATGAAAAAAAAAAAAAAAAAAAATGGGGTTTTCTCGGCCCAGTCCTGAAAATTAAAAGGCACAGCCAGAATGGTAGAGGAAGCTTTGATCCGGGAGCAAAGTCTCGTTGAAATTTAATCGGCATCCACCCAATGTGGAGAAATCCAGCTGGTGAGCGAGAAGCGTATACACACACAAAAGGCACCGCAGACCAAACAGAGGCCAAGCTAACATTAACGCATCGTGTAAAATGTACGTGACCCCGGTGAGAAAGAAAGGGTAAACGTGAAAATGCAAAAACGAGTAAGAATAACCACAGAGAGAGAGAGAGAGGGGGGGGGTGGAGGAGAGTAAGTGGGTGATGCTTACTTTTGCACGTGAAGGCGTTGGCCGGGGTGGTCAGGAGCAGCTTATCCTTCATCGAGGCCGGCTCGGCGCAACGAGCTATTCCCGGCTCCACGTAATCCCGCTTCACCCACTCTGCCAGCCAGCGCATGTTGCAGTCGCAGTAGAGCGGATTCGAGCCCAGCGCCCTTTAAACAAGTTTACACGCTTACGTTATTTCTACTTGACAATATTATTATTATTATATATACGTATATTACGTGAAACTGTGTACGTGTAGATACATACTCTCTGCACGTAATACCTTTATGCACATGTATATGTATGCATAACCAAGCCCTTTATCGCCCAGGGCTCGTTACATTCATACACATGTGATCCCAAGCCTAAACGTGTACTCATAGAGATACGTATGTCTATGTATGTCTCTCACGTATGTGTATACAAGGTTTTGGGATGTACTGTTGCAGGTAATTACGTGTAACTCAATCCGTTATATATACTGCGTGTATACGTGTGTATGTGTGTGTGTGCGTATACGTTTGATAAGAGACGTTGTCGTCGTAATACTCACAAGTGGGTGACGGATTTCAGGTCCTCAAAGGCGCCCTCCGGTATGACCGATATGTCGTTGCCGTGTAGCGATCTGCAACATACATGTATACGCAATCATTACACGTATCCACTACGCGATAATCCACACAATATACATCTACGCCAGGTGTATACACATATATATGCTTAATTGATTGCCCGACCTATCCCCCTGCGCCTACATGATGCTCTCACTCTATCTTTGACACGTACTTACACGTACGTTCCAAAATCACTTGCCCCGTGTGTACAAATTTACGACCCCATTGTCGTTCCAACGCTATTTAAAATATTACGTTAATAAATGTTTGGGAAATTCAACGGAGCGTCAAATCTGCGTGTCCTATACATTACTATACGTTCATCACAAGTAAACGATGCTATAAAACGAGTACTTGTAGGTATCGTCAATTATTGGTATAAACATGATTGTGCACGTGTACGTATATTATTACAACTTAATTCCACTGTGTATACGTACATGACGCGCAGCGACTTTAGTCCGGCCAGGGCTCCTCGTTGCACGCACTGCAGCTTATTGTAGCTAATGATTCTGTAAGCAGATGATGAAACGAAAAAACAATTAATAAATAAAGTTAAAACAAAGACAAAACGTCGTTTATCTTAAGCAAAGATGAGAGAGATTTTCTGGAGGACGTTTAATGTATATACGTATGTTACACGTATACTTACAAATGTGCCAGTTTCGTAAGGTTCCTGAACGTGTTGTTCGATAGCATTCCGATCTGATTGTTGCTCAAGTCCCTGCAATTCATTAAATGAAACGAACCATTATAATATAACACATAACGTAAATGGAGAGACGCCTTTGCTTGTTCCGTAACAGTATGTATAAAATTTCATGAGACTACGGTTTTTTTTTTTGTTATTGTTAGCGAGTAACGCGTTGTGCAACCCTCGAGAGTTGTTTGAAAGAACGTCAGAGGGTAGGGGCCATTAGCTGGGCGGAAAAAAAAACGACTTTTTTAAATACACATGGATATAATATATAACGGATGGTCCCTTTGAGCTTCGCTATATCGGTGCACGTTTGCGTAACGACATCACACATATTACATACTTATACACGAGTCTCATACCCAATATACGTAACAACCAATCGGCCATTGATCGAGGCTCCCCTATACCCCTATTCGTCCGCTTCGCGAACACAGAGACGATCGGTTAAAGTATTAGGTATTAGGTATATACGCGCGGGACTTGCGAAACTATAGCGTGTTTTCTCTTGCGCGCGAAACCCCCTGCGTTATGTACACTCGTTGTTATTATCATTAAATTCTTCGGCACGCGTTGCAGCGACGTCTTTCATCCTCTTGGGGTCTGCAGTGACACCGTATGAGCCGCAAGTCAGGGGTACATACATCATTGAAAAATCGCTCGTCACGCGTCATCATCGCCATGCGTGTGCACAAGATACTCGCACGGCGTTATAGCCTGTTCCGCGTGCAATAAAATCGTTTGACCGCGTCTCAATGGAAAAATCATTAATCTTCGTCCGAATATGGTCCCTCGCTCGCTCCCTGCGGCTTTCCCCCGGAAAAACAAAAAAAAAAAAACGAAAGACGCAACAGACGATGAATTGTCTCGGTTTCACGTGCCCATTAATGGCGTAAGCCAATGGTAGCGAAAAAAAAGGGCCATTATTAGCACACGTAGTACGCATGATTGTAGAGTTTCGCTGCTTATTCTCAATGAAAGAATGAAGAAGAAGAAGAAAAAAAGAGAATCGTCGTACACATTTCTATACATGATGGGATCGGAAGAAAGAAAAAGGTATAAATCTCAATAATCGGGACGACATTCCGTCCTCGGAGTCTTGCACAACAGATAATATAGTATGTACTCGGTTATGAATCTCTCGGGGCCGCGCATGCAAGAATGAATAACAAGGACGATCGGCGAGCGGGACGGGAGAGAGAGATAGAGATTCATCGATCGACTGCGAGTGTATCGGATATAACATATACGTATAAGATCCGTACGCGTTGAACCATATAGCTCTGTGGTATACCGGAGAGCGGCTGGAAAATGCCGAGAATCCCTGGTAGGACGTACAGATATGTACGGATAGAGATTATTGGATCGACGAGCTGTACGGGTGATGAAAAAAACACACACGACACATTGATTCATGTGTATATATATGTGTATGTATGTATGTATGTATGTATGTATGGTATACGTACAGCCTGGTGAGGATGGTGAGGTGGGCGAGCCTCTCGGGCTGGATGCTCCTGATGTCGTTGACGTCGAGGTAGAGCTCCGTAGTCTCGGGCGGTATGCCGCGAGGAATCTCCGTGAGACGGGAGCGCGAGCAGCGCACCACCGAGCCCGCGCAACTGCACTGGGGCGGACAGTAATCGTCGCCTAGGCAGCCCACGCTGTCGCCTGTTTATTTATTTATTTATTTATTTATTTATTTATTATTATTTGCCTATTTTAAGTCTCGTACACGTATCATACGCCTATGACTACTCGGGTACATGTATACAATTATTATTCGATGCGTTTGTTCATCGATAAGCCAAGTGTCGCGTTGATGTGCGCGGCCGAAGCGTACACGTTGAAGCCAATAAACGTCAAGAGAACCTCTATAGGTGTACCTATACGTACAATATGTAGGGTAAAAGAGAGAGAGAGAGAAAAGGGAGCAATCGTACCTCGTATACCAACTCGTAAAAGATTTTTACGCGATTACGGTTGGCGTGTGCAGCGACACGCGCAAGAGCCGACCGCTGACACTCGAGCCGTTTCTTATTGTATCGTATTTGTAAAAAGAAAAGAAATGGAAGAAAAAAAAAAAAAAAAAAAAGAACAGGGAGTCAAGAGGGAGAGGGCAAATTTCTCTCTCTCCCTAGAATAAGTACATGCACATGGGCAATAACGCGTTGATCAACGCACAATCATCGGTGCGGCGGCGGGGTAAAACGAGCATCGAGGAGACGGATATTGCTGTAGGCGCGCGCCGATGATTTGCGGTGGAAGGAATAAAAAAAAACGCTCTCGATGTTTATGTACGCATAGGCAAATGTTCACTCGGCTTCGTTAAGCGCGAGCGCTTTGCTCTTTGCGATATTACACGAGTCGACGTTTGCGGCGCGCGTGTCTGTTTGTTTGTCACGATAGGTATATAAGTATACACACGCGTACCCTGTATATAGCTGGACGAGGCGAAGGTGCGCTTTATCAGGTCTCGTTTGAATTTGCATGGAGAGCTCTCGTTACGGAACACATGCATGCCACGTGCGCGCGAAACATCGCGCTGCTCTGTAACTTTTTTTTCATTCATACGTGGTAATTCGAAAAGAAAGGAAAAAGTGTCGAATCGCTCGCGTGATACGTATAAGTGGAAACTGTTTTATTCGCGGGACGATGAAGAAAAAAAAAAAAAAAAGACTACGATTACTTTCGTCGCGCTCTTAATTAACCGGAGATCGTTGGTGCCTATGCACTTGGGTGTATATATAGGGTACGTGTGTGCTTTAGCTGTAGGTATACCGTTAAACGCAGGAGTATGGCGAGCACGCGACTTTCTATTGGAGCAAGAAATTAAGATTACAGTATAACGACTTACACGAGAGACGACGACGACGCTCTCTCTCTCTCTCTATCTCGCCGAGGGGAGCTCTTTTTTATATTAATGCACGACATTGCGCGAGACAAATCTAACGCGCCTATATACACGTCTGCTTGTTATCTCTTAAACGAATATCTCTCCTCTCGGCAGTACGTATATATAAAACCTGCATTAGCCGGCCGATCTCTCTCTCCTCCTCTCCCTTCCGCCGTTACTTCCCGTGTGTGAGTGTGGATTATACATCGCATACGCTGAAAATTCCGATCTATGCTCTCGAATTCATATAAATAATCGCTCGGCGAGATCGGCACGACGCGGCTGCGGCAAAAGAGTTGGTTTCCCCCCTGCACTCGGCTCGGTGTTAATGACACACCGGTGTTGATCATCGAGGGGGGAAAATACGTGTCTTTCGGGAAACAAATAACGAGTAGTCGATCGGCATGTACTTTGTACATTTGTTCCGTGTATCTTTCATCGGGATGCCATATAGTTTTTGAAACTTTTTCATTAATTTTTCCAAAAGAGAAAAATAATTTAGATAAAATGTACGTAGGATTTTTTGAAAAAAAAAAAAAAAAAAAAAAAAAAAAAGAAAATGTAATGAAACGCAAATACGATAAAAATCACATTTTCAAGTACACAGGATCATCGGAGTTTTCATCCTCGTTCCATTCGATTTCCAGTTGCCATCCCCCGAGTACCGATTTAAAAAAAATATTTTTAGCTTCGCAAGTGCACGGAGTACAAAAATACACCAGTGCAAACCGACAAGTAATCGACATAAGAGTAAAGTACTCACTGGTGCACTTGAATTCGTGCCTCGGGATGTCGTTGATGGCCGCAGCCTTGAGCCGTGGCGGGTCGTGGCAGTGTCCGGTCACTTTGACCGCCTCGTGCCTCTTCAGCCACTCGGAGAACCAGGACAGATGGCAGTTGCACGACAGCGGGTTCCCCTGGACATTTCTACGAAAATCCCCGATTTCACGTTCGTATTACCGAGTGTCCTTTCCCCTCGAGAGCGTACACGGATTTTATCGAAGCTCCGATTTCGAGGGGAAACGGGAGACGTCGACAATGACGGTCGTCCCAGAAAAGGGCTAACGAGAGCTTCTCTATTGTATATGCCCCTATGTGTGTATATGCAAATGTACTTACATGGTGTGCAAGTGGGGCATGTGGTCGAAGGATCCGTTCATCATGCAAGTGATCGCGTTGCCATGGAGATACCTGTCGTTGGTTTTACGGGCGTGGGCGGAAGAAAAGGAAAATTCGTACGTGTGAGACTGGCTCGTTAATGGCGTGTATAGGCATAGGTAGGTAGATATATACTTACAGGTTTTTGAGGCTCGCGAGGCTGGTGAACATTTTCGTGTGGACTTCTCGGAGCTTGTTATCCGACAGATGTCTGAAAAAGTTTTACTTGTTTGGTATATTTTTTTTCTTTCTTTCTTTTCTTTTTTTTTTTTTTCGACATTATGTACACGCGGATATTTCTCAACGAAGGCCAAGTGCACTGAACCGTACACAGGGTAAATGGAACCTTTCTAGCGTGAAAAAAGGTAAAGAAGAGTGCGCAATAAAAGGCTCATCACTCCNGGTAAAAAAAAAAAAAAAAGAAAACTATACTCACAGATCCACCAATTTGTGGGCCCCCTTGAACGCGTTAGCCTCGATGCGCGAGATCTTGTTGCCCGTGAGGTCCAGGTGCTGGAGTTCCGGGAGCTTCTCGAAAATCCCCTCCGCCTTGATCTTTTCGATAGCGTTGTCTTTGAGTAATCTTCAGCGAGAAAAAAAAAGTCATCGATGATTATTTTTCGCTCTGGACGTGGTGGGACATAAAACGTAGGGGCAATCGCTTACAGTGTGGTGGTGTAAATGGGCAGGTCCTTCGGGACGGAGGTGAGCTTCTCGTTGGAGCAATCGATAGTCGCGCCGTTGCAGGTGCAGTGAGCCGGGCAGGGTCCGGGTAGTATGCACTCACCCGCCCGCTTTGTCAGGACTTCCTCGTCACCTGTTTTTTTTGGTTTTTTTCCATATTCAAGAGCCAACAAAAAAAAATGTACCCGGAGAATATATATATATTCCATTAAAACTGTATGCAATATGCAGAAACAGCTCGTTGAATGGGGAAACTTTTATCTCTTGCACTCGAGCTCGTAGTTATTAAAACAAAAATTTTTTTTTTTTAATTTCGCTTCGTCGAACGATTGTACACAGGGACGAGGAGGCGCGCGACCAAGTTTGTTCGATCAACTCGAGAAGAGAAGGATAATGATTTCCACTGGAATTTTTTCAATCATCTCTCCACGCCGCGTTAATTAATCATTTCAATGTGCTCTCGGAGCCTCTCTTCAAGTATATAGGTACACTTGGACCGAGTCTCGAAATAACCGACCGAATGAAAAAAAAATAGCCGCCGATGCGCGCTTTCGAGAGCCGGTCTCAATTTATTTATAAAATATTCTCCCGCCCCGTGCTCGTCTCTTTTTGAACCCGTGATTCATCAAATTGATCCGTCCGATAAGTTCCTTTGAAGCGCCAAATATAAATCTCCGTGAGTCGCTCTTCTCTGCCTCGCGCCCGACTCCTTTCATTCCCCGGTCGGCGTGACGAATGCAGAGCTTCGAGAGAGGAAGAAAAAAGAAAAAAGAAAGAAACGAATTTTTTTCAATATCAAACGGCTCGTCGGCCTCTCGTGACAAACGCGCGTTCGATATGTTCACGAACCCGCCGGATCGAATCTGCTCGGAGAGGGACGCAAAGTACGGAACAAGTGCGCCAAAGTGCGAGACGACGCGCAACGGGAATAATGGGAAAGAAAGTCGAGCGTCCGCGCGAGGTGTTGTACGCCTATATTTCTATTTTACATTATATATATACGTATATAGAGTCGAGAGGAGGGACACCTCGCGCGCACGAAACCGGGGGATTATAATTTCGAACGGAGGCGAATCGAGGCCGTATATACGCGAGCGGCCGCAATCGGACGATTTATCGCGGAACCGCGTGCAGGCTCGCAGCTTTTTTTTGCCCTCCCTTCCCCCCCCCCCTCTCCTTCGACTGAGTCGCGTGCGTCGACTGTATAACGTCGTACACGTATGTGGGCTCTCCCGAGAGAGTTGCGTTTATTGCACGACCGGCCACCGCCGCTAATTTTCTTGCGTGCGCGGGTTTTATCGCACTCGAAGCCTTTTGCTCTTTGCTCCGATAATATTCGGCCGGGAGCTTTTATAAAGCTTTCGCCGAGCTGCTCCGTGGCGAGCTTTTTTCCACGAGCACCACTCGCCTCCAACGCGGATGATGATCCTGCGCTGTTTGCGCGATACGGCATACTTACTGATGGAAAACATTACTAAAAATTGTGCGCATCTCTAGCCGGGATTAGCATATTTATGAAAATGTTTACTGAAACAAGCCACACGAGCCACGGGCGCGTGCATTATGCGACGCGCGCGCGAACGGCCTTTTGATAGAGTTATTATAATTCTAATGGGAGCGAGGAATGATTAAACGTCGGGAAATGCAAATCGCAGATCGGAGCGAGGGGGTCATATTTCTCACTTTGGCGTTTGAGAGCGGAACCTTCTCGTCGCTTTGTACAATCATCGACATTGTCGTTCAACCAATCGAGTGTGCATAATTTATCTGCACTAATAAAGGAATATAATATACAATGACAATGTAAATTTTGAGTACAATGAAAAAAAGAAGAAGAAAAAAAAAAAAAAAGAAATCGTGCTTACCCTTACATTTGAATTTGTCGTCGCGCATGTTGTCGATCCTGCGCTTGATGGCCCTCTTGGGTGACTCGCAGCGCGCGCCCGACGTCTCGATCGGATTCTTGTGCAGGTACTCGCCCAACCAGCGCAGGTTGCAGTCGCAAATGAAGGGGTTCCTCGCCAAGTGCCTGTACGCGTATACGCACACGTTGTAGAACATGTGTGTGGTGCATTGCGTGTGCTTTCAATCGTATATTATATATACACATACGCGCAAAAAAGTACGAGGGGGAGACAGAGAGAGAGAAGGGCAACGTCTTTTTCAAGCAGAAAGAAGCAAAGGAAAAGCAAATAGAGAGACAAGTGGGCGCGACAGCGGAATTACACGCGATCTTGCGCTTGCACGAGCTATACATGCGACTTCTGTGTGCATACACATACATATATGTATGTTACACCTATACACGTAAGGTAAAGGTAAAGCATATTGTACGTAGTGTATTCCGTCGGCGCGGGGTTAATGACGGCTGTAAGCCGTTTCCTTTTTGAATTTCAATGCATGTGCGACAGACTCGGGGGATACGGTCTGAATGGATGACACACTTTTCGATGTTCTCGCGTGTATTTTTTTTTTTTGTCAAGTGGTTTTTCGTTTACCCTCCCCTCCCTTTTTACCATTTTCATCAAAAAGATCTCGAAAAATTGCAGCGCCATCCGACGAGAAGCTATACTGCCACGGTATACCTATATCATTTTCAATCGATGCAAAAGTTCGCGGTGGAACGGACGAATGTTTTTTAATGAAAACGCGAGCTTTGGGAAAACAAATGCCGGTCCCATTGGCCAGATTAAATCGGGGGGGGGGGGGAGCTCGAAAGAAAACAAGCAACAAGAAAAGGTCGCCCTCGCGCACTTTTTGCACTTGATCGGAGCTTCCGATACGTGTACAATGCGACGTGTGTACTCACAGAGTTTTGATGTTCCGGAGATTGGCAAAGGTCCCGTTGCTCAGGGACTTGATGTTGTTGTCGTAGAGAGATAAGAGCGTCAGGCCGGAGAGATCGCGAAACAGCTCCGTACGTATGCACGATATTTCGTTTGCGTTCAATAGTCTGCGAAAATATAAGAGGATATGTTATTGTTGAAAATGGAAATAAATAACTTGCTGATGGTGGTGTTACCGCTCGTGGGAGCATGTCTGCCGGAGCAGTATTTGAAAACGGTTTTTTTTTTTTTTGTTTTTTTTTTCTGTCAGGGAGGCAAGGAAGGCGGGAAGGTACTTTTCAGGGAAGCGGCGATAAATCAACTTCTTTGACAGCCGGTTATGAGAGAGAGAAAAGGAGAAATGGGAGGGAGAAGCGAAAATAAACGGCTTCATTAGTATACGGCCGGTGCAGGGCACTTTCTCGAATGTACGTACATATTATGTATAGGACATGTTACATTGTGTATCGGTTATTTCGTGTGCACGTATATACTCACAAAAGTTGCAGATTCGTGAGGCCTTGGAAAATTTTGCTCGGCAGGTCGGCAATTTTATTGCCATAGAGCACGCTACGATAAAAAAAAAAAAAAAAATCAATTTCTCGTTAGTTTTTATGCATCGTTTTATTTCATTTGCTTTTTTTCCATCGATAAAGTTCAACTTTATCGATCACTTACAGTGACTCGAGGAACTTGAGCCCGTGGAAGGCGTCCGCTGCCACTTTCCGGATCTTGTTGTTGCTCAAATCGCTGAAAGACAAGGCACACATGGCACATTGTAACTCGATACTTCCACTAAATACTAGGTATACGTACAGGTGGTATTTTTTTCCCACCCCCCCCCCTTCCCCCAAGAACACATCGGTTGCATGCGTATTATCGCCAACGCATTCCCGGAAAAATTCTTTATGCACCACTTGGACGCCGTTGGGCAATTAATTTTCAGCTAATAAGCTACTTTTTCCTCGCAAAACGTGCGTTAATCTTGTACCGGTTTCGGGAGCAGCTCGTAATCTTATCGAGCGCGTTTTCAATTGCACAATATAATTGCGGCACTCGCGTTACACGCACCAAAAAATTGATAACCCGTTGTTGGCCTAGCCAAGGTACGGGTATTTGAAAAAATGGCAAAAAAAAAAAAGGCGACAACTCGGATTTATCGATCCCAAATGCCCAAGAGTCGACCATGGACATGTAAGTATATACTTATTGCCGAAGCGTTGCTCTCGATATTGCAACGGTATAAAAACTTGCATGTTACACATAAGTTAACACTCACATCCTGCGCAGCTTCCTGTAGGGCGAGAAAGCCTTGGCGGGAATCTCGGTGATGCCGTTCTGCTCCAGTCGCCTGTGAAAATGCAGAACAAAAACCCCCCCCCTACGTGTGAACACTCGTGTATACCTATACGTATATAATATATTTATGTATACGCACTTGAAGGGCGGATGAGGGGATAAAGGGGGCGATATATATATATATAAGTATATGGACTTACAGCTCGACGGTGTCCTCGGGCAGGTAAGTCGGCACCTTCGTCAAGGAGTTCTCGCGGCAGTCGACGATACCGTCGGCGCAACGACACGGATGCGGGCACTGGGGCTCGCTGCTGCACTCCGAGCTCGGCTTCTCAACCAGACCCGAGCACTTCAAGTCGTGCTCCTGTAAACACACGCGTAAGTATATACGTACATACATATATTTTGTACGCCGTGCACGTTCATGTGTATAATATTATTATAGGGAAGGTATATGTATACGCGCAATACATCATATTGGATTAGGTACACCGTGCAAGTCTCCTTGCGCTCATCTCTTCCCCGTTCTTTGCTCTCGCCTATACGTTGCGCTCGTTGTTATGTATATATATATACGTGTTTCGTCTACCACCGGCAAAGAGAGAAAAAGGAGATTCTCATCGCGACGCCGCGAGTACAACATGGGTGCATACCGGTACATACATACAGTACCGACTCGTATATTATGATGGTGTATACGGGCACGAGAAATATATTTGTGGGTAGGGTATAAAATAGTATATATTATACACGTATAGGTACGTTCTTTTGTGCACTTTGAAAGCACGAGCTCTCGAAACCACGAGGTGAGAGGTGTATACGTTCTTCGGGTTCTTTCTTTCGTTCTTTGCACACGAGGTTTACGCGCGAGTGCTTCTGTAGCTGAAAATTGCTCATCGCGAAAAAGCTGCGGGGAAAAAAAAAAAAAGTATACCCTTGTCTTTGAGAAAGTTCGCGTGTGTGTTGTTTTTAATGTGTACTCCACGGGGTAAGGAAGACAAGGGAGGTAAGTGATTCCGAAAAAGTGGGTTAACGACGACGCATTATTAAACGGCCAAAAGGGTTTGAAATCGGGTAATCCGCGCGAAATGCCGTCATGCACGCAAGAGAGCAATTTTATCTATAATTACATTTCCGGCTAGCCATTAATACACGGGGGAGCGGAGATTTAGCCACGCCCGAAAGACAAATCTCGGCATTGTCTTATCTCAAGTTCCGATGTAAGGGGGGGGGGGGCGGTCTTGCACCGTGGAAGGGGGCTGGGCTTTAAAAATTTTCCTGGCGCCCGTTCAAGAGACTCTTCTTCTCCTCCTCGTCGTTTGTCTTGCCAACTTTCTACTTACACGGTCCCTCCGAGCCGCGCCAAAAGCAAGAGGAACAAGCCCACCTCTCACTCTCCCGGCTCATTTTCCACAAAGCCCCCACCCACCCCCGCTCGCTCCATTACGTAGCGGATTATATTATCCCGTCCAGAGGGTTTCGTTAAATAATCGCTGTACGTGCATGTATACGTAGGCGCTTTCAATCGATGATCGAGTGTTTCCGGGATGGATATTGGAGAAAAAGGGTACAAAAGGCCCCGTGGCTCTCTCGAACGATCGGTAAAACAAAAGAAGCAAACGCGCCTACGCTTCACGCAGTTAGCTTTGAATGCGCCACAAAGAGAGAGAGAGAGATGCGGAGAGGGTTGATTGATCGAAAGAGAGCAGGGGACAAAGAAAAAAAAAAAAAACAAGTTTTCGCACCTGCAAATCGACGAGGTTTTGTCCCTTGAAGTGCGCCGGCGCCGAGCAGCGGGTGTTCTGCCGCGGAAAATTTTTGAGCACATGCGACAGCCCGATCAGGTGGCAGTCGCACGTGAACGAGTTGTCCGACAGCTTGAGGGTGCGCAGGTGACCGAGTCCGCCGAACGTGTCCTTACCCAGCGTCGTTAGTTTGTTGTTGTTGAGCGTCCTTTCAATGGAAATATAGGGGAGCAATGAAAATTCAGTAAATTGCACGGTGAAAAGGGCTCCATCTTATATATATATATATACATATGTACTCACAGAATTTCCAGTTCCTTCAGCTCGCGGATCGCGGCCTCGTCGAGGCAGCTTATCTCGTTGTCGTCTAGCAGCCTGTGGTAAAAACGGTAACAAAATTATTCGGCACATGTATAGCCATGCGCTTTGCGTCGTTCTGTTCCTGTACTATTGATTTTTGTGACACGGCACTTGCTTTGTACGCGTAACTCACGAAAAAAAAAAGCTCGTAGGTATTGATGTACTACTCTTTTTTCCCTCGGCGTAATTTAGTGCTCGGTCATCGCGAATACTCTACGTCTATTGATTATTATTATTATTTTTTTTTTTTTTCGAAGAAAGTATTGTCATCGTTATCAATTAGCATAAAAAATGAGTCAAGATATACGACGCAAAGAGCTTTGTTTGAAACAAGAGGTAGAAAACGAGTCTCACAAGTGCTTGAGCGACGCGATCCCCCTGAGCGTCTTTTGGCCGATCATCGAGATCTGATTGTGGCTGAGATCCCTGAAACAAGACGGTTTGTTAAAATAATCCTTGAAAGGAAAAAAAAAAAAGGTATTTGTAATAAACCAACTCACAATCGCTTCAAGTTCATCATGTTGCTGAAGAGGAGGTCCGGGAGGAAGCGGATGTGGTTGTTGTTGAGCCTCAGCTTCTCGACGCTCACCAAGTCCTGAAAGGCCCCTCGCTCTATCGTGTGTATCTGATTGTTCGACAGTTGTCTGCGAAGCGGAAAGAAAATAAAATAAAGGGCCCCCTTTATCTCGGGGCGCACGCCCAAGTGTACCTTTCGACTTGTTGTTACCATCTCTTGTTTTTGCCCGGAAAAGTCGAGCGAGGTCTGATTCTCTCGGCTCCGAAAGCTGATTAAACTCGATTTACATAAGTTGATTTAACTTTTTGCCGGTGGCGGCACACGGTACTACCAGTAGAGTTGAGCCTCCGACGAGGAAAAAGTCGCGCGATCGAATAATACGACGACGAGAGGTTGATTTACGACAGAAGTCACGAGGCAAAAGGGAGTATAATATTATAATGGCAATCGCGTTACGAGCTAGTTAGCCAAACGAGGGATGAAATGAATTTTTCAGCGCCAGCTAAATTAACTTTAATTACAATTCATATGAATTACTCCTCCGTGGAGTGCACGATGTGCTTCCACTGTGTATATACATATAGATGTGTGAAATTGAGTTTTTTTTTTTCCTCTTTAGGGACCGATTTATCAAGGGAGTGGATGACCCTTTTTCACGTGCACGTAGGTGTATACTCGTAAAAAAGTTTGAAAGCGCGCGATCGCGAGTTGTATTTATAAGTCGATTAAATGTTGATAATCAAGTTTGGCGAATGAAACTAACACGAGGCGTACGTTTAATATATATATGACACGTAGCGAAGGGAAAATTTAATTTCCCTCGGAGGCACGGGCCACTTCGTTATTTTTTGCTGCATCGGCCATCTGCGCGTTTCTTATAAATAGAAAACCCGATGACTCGAAATTGAAAGGTCTCGGAAAGCTTTTATTCATTACCGTACCATTGCTTTGCCCCGAAAAATACACGTATTACATCCATGAAAGAAACGTTCATCTGAAAATATAAATAAAATTCGAGGTAACGAAAAATCGAGAAACACGATGGCCTCTGGACCGTCGCGGAGTACCCGAACCACCGAGGCGCGCTCGCACGTACCAATCTCCCTCTCCGACGCCTTTTAGTCCGCGCGACCGCGAAAAAACGCGAAATTGCAAAAGCCATTCGATAAAGCGGATGCACGTGCGCGCCCGGTAACACACATCGGGCTTTTCGCCTCGCGTAAACTTTGGTGATCCGCAAAAAAGTCCACCGCGGCTCGGAATACGCGGAAAATTGCCGATTCGCGTTTTTTTCCACATCCCCCTCTGAATTCGATCTCTTTCCGATTATACCTGGCCATCACTGTTTGCACTGTTTATCCAAGATACAGAGCTACACGAGTACGCATGATCCTCTGTTGCCGCTGGAAATTTTTAACCTCCACAAGCTCATCCTGACAAATAAAAGTACAGGTACGTCTGTACGTGCTTGTGCGCAAAGTCGATTTCAATTAAATATGCGTATAGGTAGAAGTATCAATCGCTGAAGTGGAGTACGCGTATACGTGTATATACTGTACAGAGATGGCCAGCAAAGCTCAAATTCAACTCTCCGTGGATGATGCGCGCGAGAGCGGGAAATCGATATCTCGGCTTACCGATCGGCAGCACGTAATAGTATATACAACCGGCCTGGACCGGCATGCGAAGCCAGCCGAGGGAGAGAGAGTATAATAAACTACGTGTAAGGTATATACCGTACGGGAAATATCCCGCGAAAAATCGCATCCACTGAAATTCATTTTGATGATATCGAGGGATAAATTGTATTCAATTTTTGATAAATCTTGCTGTGGAGGGTGTGCTCGACAAAATAAGACTCTGATAATCCAGCATCCTACGTTTGATGATAAAAATCGATTGTAATTTTCTATCTGCATACAGATGGGAACAATTTCCTTGGAAAATTCCATAAAAGTTTCCATAAAACAAGAACAAAAAATCTGCACCTACAAAAAACATCATTTTTAGTGTTGTCCGAGACACCGTGAGCAACTGATGATTTTTCGTGGAATCGCTTGAATACGTGTACGTACACGAGCTGGAGACGATGATAAAAATAGTCATCCCCGTCGTCGTCGTCTTCCCTTTTGCAGTCGCTGCGCAATGTACAGCCGTGCGGTTTCGATGCCACGTATACGTATACAATGTACGAAGGATTGCTCACGACCCACACCCGAGTATATACATATTATTATTATTATTATATACGTATATGCCGCTGCAACCTCTGCACACTTTTTTTGTTGTTTGCCGCTTCATTTTTCCCGAGACGCTGCATGAAATTTCAAGATTCTCACTGCATGCGCCTCGTACGTGTTTACGACACACACAATCCGAGCCACGCTCTCAATCATCTCTCTACCGATCGATTGATTTTTCATTCTTATTTTATTTTATTTATTATTATTACTACCCGAGTTGGATAGAATTTTTTCAAACCCCCATATATACCGATACCCTTACCGCAAACTTGGAGAGGAAAAATAAAGAAAGGGGCTGGGCGGATAACAATAACGCTCTATTATACAATTATGTAGAGCACATGTACATATACAAGACATATACGTGACAGCGGTGTCGGAAACTCGATACGATGTACGGGCCAGGTACAAACGGGATACGCTTGAAAATCAGCGGATACGGTGATCCTACATGTAGCCCCGGATCTCGTGTCTTGCGCGCTGGGTATAGCTGCCGAAAGGAGATTCTTCGGGGAATCCCCAAAAGGAGAGGTATACGCGAGAAATCGAGATTCTGCAAAACCGTGCGGGAGTACGAAGGGGGTGGTGGAGGTTCAAACGGCACAGGTTGCTTTGGCACCGAGGGGAGCTTGCGCTCGTCGGCCATTTTTCAAAGAGGTGCGGGGGCGCGATGCTCGAGAGAGAGAGAGCTTGCGAGTCGGTGAGAGTGCACGGCTGCTACTTATTTTTAATTCAATTTTATACACACTCGCGATGCTCGAGGGCCACAGCGCTGGCTGTGCTTACCTATATACATATATTGCTTTGACGTCGATAGACGCGCCAATATGATTGGTACTGCCTTTTCGCGCACCCATACCATATACATATACATATACTATATAGAGGAAGCCACTGGCGTGTTCCCATCGGCTCCCCTTAAATTGCCCGTGCGCACGTACGTGGTCATGTACGTCCTGCCATAAAAGCATCTGCCAGATCAAGTTGCTTCCAAGCGAACTTCAAAGTGGACTTGTGCTGGTAACTCTGCCGATATACCTCTCCTCTTTGACTCATCGCTCTCTTCCTCACTGTCTTGTGCTCGTCGGCGAATCTTTTCTTGCCCCATAATGCGCTTATACCTTACCTCGGCCCCATCATGCTTTTTGCCCCTCTCGTACGAGTATTATGTATATAACAGGTCGGCTTGCTGATTAACGATCAAAGGCGAACGCGATACGATACAGAGCTCGGACGATCGGAATCTCTTGGAAAAATACTTGGAATTTCAGGTGGATTTTCGAGAGGTTTTTCCGCTCTCGCGACAAGCCTTTTTTTTTTTTTTTTTTTTTTTTTTTTTTTTCACCCGTCACCTTTTTCATCATCGGCTGTATCGATGCTCGCGCAAGTTTTTCCACCGCACGATAAACAACAATATGTTGCGCAACGCATAAGAAAGGAAACTTTAAACCATACGTTTTATAGGCGGGCGCACACACACCGCAACAACCGCAAAAACTTTATCTCGCAGCATCATCTTTTCTTACCTGAGTTACGGAGGGCCGGTGAAAGTTTCGTGCTCTCTCTCTCTCTCTCTATCTCCTTTTCTTTATTTATTTTTTATTTTTTGCACTCGCAAACAACAAACTCATTGTGCCCCACTTTGATTTCACTCAGATGCAAAGAGTCGGCTCAACTGTTTGCTCCGCGCTCTTATCGTACATATTATTATTATTATTATATACCCTTCGAAATCATCCCAGGAGATGCGGTGTTCCGGAAAAGCGCACCTTTCGTTCCGTTCGAGGGGACTTTTCCCCCCTCGAGAGGAGAATAACAAGTCGAAAGGTCTCTAAAATACCAACAGGTATATTTATATGTCTGGTATATGTTATGTTGTATATACTCACAGGAGCCGAAGGGTAGCCATGTCCTCAAAGTCAGTCTTGAATATGACGGAGATGTTGTTGCCTTGTAGATCTCTGAAACAGAAATAAAAAAAACCTCATCAATCCATCGGCATACCAATGTCGGCCGAGACAGATGCACACGTATGCATACACATGACGATTTCTATGCCCCCCCCCCTCGGGGTGGGGTGGGGGGTAAAAGCTCTCGAAAGGCGCGTAATTAAATTCTTTCGCTAGCAGCGTCGGTCGGCTCTGAATTCCCGAATTAAACCTCCTCAATCACGCTAATAACCTCTCCGCGGCGCACGAATATTAAATTCAATAAGTCCACGCGGTCATTAATCAATCAACCCCCACCCGCCTTCTGCGACCAAGCGGCGAACGAAAAAGGCCTGCCCACCACACGTATATGATTTAATATGTGTACGCTATAGATGAGCTCTACACACGCGTTTCCAAAAAAAAAAAAAAAAAAAAAGCAAACGACAACTCGTCTCGTTACGTATACATCGCTCGAAAAAATCGTTTTGCTGATTCACGAACAATTTATTATAAAATACAGTAGAGGGGGACGAGGACGCCAACGGGTGCAAAATTGCTCATTAAAAAGCTGCTTTGTTTAACCCATCAGAAATTGTATTTAATATCTATGTATAACGGAATATCAGTGGCGTTTCCAGGAGCTTGGCTTTGGTGGGAGTATTTTCGGGGAGGGGGTAGGAGGGCGAAAAAGTTTATCCGTCCTCGAGCTTCCTGTCGAACCGTCATTTACATTTAAGTCCGCTGAAGCCTGCGGGCGAATAAATTAATTAATTAATTAATTTTACACTACAGAATATAGTTATACAGGGGCTCAGAGTGAGACGCAAAATGAAATTCAATTAAAAAAAAAAAAAAGAGAGAGAGAGAGAGGAGGAATGAAAAGTTTCGGCTTATTGATTTTCACGCGTCGAGAGTACAACGATAAAAGCCATCGTCGCAAAGGCGAAACTCTCGTACAATTATTACTTACGTGTACGTATATATACGGTTTTCCGCTTACGCGATATTGCAGTGTTGTTTGTTTTGCCGAGAGTAAGTACGCGTATATACAATAGCCGGGGAATGCTCGTTTTGCTCGCTTACGTGTGTTTGAGTACATACAGCTCGATTATTTTGCGATCTTTCTTTTTTTTTGTAACGATGAAAAAAAAGAAAAAAATAAAAAAAAGAAAAAAAAAAAAAAAAAAAATGCCACGCCGAGCGCTGTAAATCACGGAGCCCCCGACAGTTCAAATTATGAAAGCGTAAATTGCGCTCTATCAATCTGATTTTCCTTTTATTTAATGGATATTTGCTTTAACGCGCCGGCCAAGATATCGGTGTCGCTCTGTATATACGCCATACACGTATACATAGGTATAAACGCGCACCTATCGTGATTTATGTAACCTGCAGGCCCAGTACCAGCATGCACCTCGCCACACATAGATAACTTCATCAATTTGGCCTTTGAATATATAAAACTGGATATTGCAAAAGGCAAAAAGCAGAAAAAAATGTTTATTCATACGATCCAGATTAATAGCGCGAAAAATACAAAGTACCACCACAAACGCCAGCTACACGTATACTATGATGATAGTAAGGGCGATCAATTGATCCGGCTCTCTCGGGCTTCTCACGGGCACACACGCGCGCGCGAGAAAGAGAGAAAGAGGAGGAAAAAAAAAAAAAAAAAAGACGTGCCGGGAATAATCATCGTCCGACCCTGGCGTCGCCGAGGCGCGCGTGGGGTACTTGAAATTGATTTTGGAAGCCACCCCGTTGCGTCGCGTGTGCATAGCGTCCGCTCGGCCGATGGATCGAGTGTATCGTGTATATATAGTTGGCCATGGCGGTATACGCATAACTATACGAGGACCACGCCCGCTCGCGGTGGACCATGAAATAATATACTGTGGGTATTATACATTTGTATACCAACGGCATTAAATGACTATGTGAGGTCGCCTCCCCGGCGATCGACTCTGGCGTAGGTGTATTAGAGTGAATTTGTTGGGTGTACTTTGGAAGGCACGATGGCTCGGAAGAAGAGGGACAATTCGGCTGTACCGCGTCGAAGGAGACTCTCGCCAAATTGTTTTTTAATGGCTATGGATTTATTCGTCTTTCGTTTTATCGAAGGAGGAAAAAAAGGGGGGAGGGGAAGGGTGCAACCTACATTTTGTAATAAGAAGCTTTTCCACGAGAGAAGGATGAATCCGATGTCGCGGTATCTTTGTACATTATTTATTGCTCGTAATGGGCAAAGCTCCTCTTGAGCTCCTTCGAAGTGGAAAGGAGAGAAAAGAAGGGAGGAGGAGGAGGAGGAGACGAGCGAGACACTGAGTAAGTGCTTCTTACTCTCGGGTGGCATTTATCTTGACAAATAAAGAGAGCAAGTATAGAAAAGTATATAGGTGATGCGCCAAATTCAACGTGTACTTACTCGACAATCGATCAAGAAATTCATACGTACAATTTGATTAAAGCGAAAAAAAAAATTACTTTTTTTTTGGAGGACAACTTGAAAATCCCTACAGTGGCCGAAATGTTTTTCCTTTGAAAATGGGGCAAAGTAATACCTATTCATGTCAGTATGGAGTCGTGGGTATGGGTATAATTTTATATATATTCTACGGATGAGAACAATCCAAGAGTCGAGAGGAGGTACACGTTTTAGCAATTCATGACGGATCCGTGCAACGCGAGGCGAGCCCGTGTGCCGGCACCCGACAAGCGAGGAATTACGCCATGGCCCGGTAACAATAATAATAAGGATAAGAATGCCATCAGCGAGAACGACGACCAAGACGCAAAAATTCCTCGAATCATTCGCGCCGTAATGCACGAATTATGCAAATAAAGCCCGAGGAAAGGGAGAAGAGATATATATAGAGAGAAAGGGAACAGAAGAGGGACTTGGGGACGGTTAGTATATATGCAGTCCTTACGTGGCGACGGGTATATGTATAATATGTATAGCCGATGGAAAGAGACGCCCTGCGGCGCCAAGGGGGATATACTACTCTCCGAACGGAGCGGGGCATTCTCGTGGAAAAGTTTTTCGTAAGAAATCTCCAATTTCGATGTCGATCCTCCTGTCGGACTTTTACCCATTCCCTCACCCACAGTCACTTAAGTTCCGCGTGGCTGCTTTTTCCTACACTCCTACACTTTTTTTCCCCCCTTATTTTCCTCCCCCTCGGAGGATTGCTAATTATATGTATAGCATAGTGTAATGCAGGTTGTTTGGCGAGCCCTTTTTTAAACCCCATTATGGAGTGAAAAGCGATGCACATTTGTGGGAAAATCCTCCCGAGCTCGCGCCGATGGATCTTTCGAATGGAAAAGTTAATGAAGCTCGATTGCGCGGACGATCGGAAATGTGTCAGCCTCCCCCTACCCCCCAAAGCTAACGAGCTTAACGTCAGAGTGACTGTGCTTTTTGTAATTAATGGTCCCGGGGAGCCTACACGCGTTGTTCCCTTTTCCATCGGGTGGCCGGTTTTATATTTTCCCACATCCTTTTTTTTCCAAAATCATTACCCGCAGACGATGGATTTTTCTTCACTGAATGCCAAGGCGGATGATGACGAATCGCGCCTCGTCTAGATATACGCGTACACAAAGTGACGAATCGTTGTGCCACTCTCTTTTTCCAAGGGGGAGTGCCCATGTGCGATCCGAGAAAATGTGCATACACACGTGTATTGTTGCCGAGGATTTATACGTGTGTGTGTGTGTATCAATCAAAACGTTACGGGCCGCTTGGTCTCGAGGGTGTATAAGCGAGAAAAAGCAGGTTGGCCGTGGAGGGAATGAAACGAAAAAAAAACAACAAAAAAATACAGAAATTTTTGCATTCACTAAAGTTGTGCCTGACTTTACGATCGCGTTTTATTCGGAAAAAGTTTTCATCCTCCCCCAAAGCGCCGGCTTGATACACACACATATACGCGAGGGTTGTAAAAACCGGGCGAAAGTAGGGCTGCAGTGGTTTATTACGTTTTTATACACACCGTACAAGCCACAATGAAGAAAATACATGCATTACGCGTGCCGGCGCCTACGTTTGTATACGAGCCAAGTTTTCATACATTTTTTTTTTTTTTTTTTTTTTTTTTTTTTTTTTTTTTTTTTTTTTTTTTTTTTTT